GGGGACAAAAATCGCCATGGAGAGATCCAGTGTCTTTGTAGTAGGAGTGCTTCGATGCTTGTGCTTTTTTTAAACATTCCCTGTGAGCTGCCCTTGTTTGTCCGACTGTCCAGTCACATATTCTCCAGTGAGAAAGAGAAAACACATCCTAGATCCTTTACCCTAGAATTCTAATACTCAAGCCTACCTATTCAATCATCTTAAGAGCTGTAATTTTGTTAAGCATGAATCTTGCAGTTAACACCTTGCGAACATATTTCATGTGCAGCTCCAGTGTGAATATAGAGGATCAGTGTTTATTTCTAGAAAAAGCATAAAATTGGACATAGGCTTGGGGAGAGAAAAGATTTTTTTTAAATAAAATATGTGGCCACCTTTACACTTCTTCTTACTGCCTATAACCACAGAAGCATAAGTCAGGATAGCTCGGCATGCTCTGCTGAACACCCTGATCTTGTTAGACCAGAGAACCAAGTCCTGTTTCAACAGATACCACCGGGGGCGTCAGAGGCTGCAATGGTTTAGGCGTTGATACGGCGCTCATCACTGTAAGGTAAAGGTCCAGAGTTCAAATCCAGCAGCCCTGCATTCGAACCCGACATACTTACAAATGGGCTTTTTTCAAAAACACTGGCACCCCGAGGGTTGATATAACCTCTGCTGTTGCAAACCTTCGTAAAAAAAAAATTTTTTGGTTGAGTAGATGTTGGTGTTTGGTCTGCGAGTTGGTGAACTCATGTTGAACCAGTACACAGGCCCAGTATGCCCATGTGACCAAAACATGAATTTTGGTTGATATTGCTTTTTCTTTCAAGCAATTCCCGATAGACAATTTTCAAGATATTGTAACTCATAGTATTATAGTTGTTACAGAATCTATGCTATTACCTTTATGGAACCAATTTTCAGATAAGTATTTGTTACAAGTATTACTCACATAAAGTGTGGTGCTTTTCTTGTGGTGTCATATTGGTTTTGTGTCATAAAATTGTTATGAAACATGAATTTCTATTCTGCTGTTTTTATATGATTGTGGCAGGGTGGGAGACGTGGTAAATCTTAAATTCCCACCCTGCCATAATCATATAAAGACAGTAGAATAGAAATTCACGTTTCACAACAATTCACGCAACACCAATATGACACCACAAGAATATCATCACATTTTATGTATGTAATACTTGGTTCAAAGTTTACTTTTACATCTATAATGTATTTTTTCCAGTCAACATATTTTGTAATTCACCAATGTTGTGGGGATGACCCGAATAAAGGTCAAAACATTGGCAAAAAAATGAAAAAGGTGTTTTTCTAAACTACCTCATTCTTGTCTGCTGAACACACATATATTTATATATTTCATATAATAATATACAATATCTTAATAATAGAAGAATTATATTTTCTAAAATACTTCATTTGTTGCAAAAAAATCTATAAAATTATTGCCTTTAATTTATGTTTAAATGTATTAAAATTTAGATGAAAGAAATCAATATTTTGACATATTTTATTTCCTTCTCTCATAATTCTATTTATTTGTAAATAAAATATTTAATGTTTTTATACAAAAGTGAACACTTTGTACAAAACAGAACATGATGAACGTCTGGTAGCACTAAACATAGAATGTCAGTGTAGTAGGACATTGAAAGTGATACATGAAATGAGGTCAATACAATTTAGTCACCCAGTGATTATATTGTAAAGAAATAATAGATCAAAAACGCCTTCTGTCTGCTAGTGCTGGAAGATTAAGAAAAAAAGGAAAAGACAGTTCTGATGATGAAAGGAAAGGAAATTGAAAATGAAGGATTCTAATAAATTCATTTTGAACTTGGTGGTCAGTCTAGTTTAACACATGAAACAATAACAACCATTTAGTTTTTTAAACTTAAAAAAATAAATAAATAAATGGTTGTTATTGTCTCCGTGTGTGTAACTAGCCTGACCACCAATTGAATGAACCACATCTTAAGGAAGAAAATAGAGATACAACTATAATTATTTTGAACTTTATCTAAGGATTCAAAATGAGAAGAAAACTCTGGATTCCATACAACAGTAGAAAATTCAAGGATATGATGAACGTGAGTTTTTTACAATGTCAATGATGAATTGGGATTGTGAAAATTACGAGATGTTTCCTAAAACAAAACCCAGAATTTTAAGAGCTTTTTTATTAACTCATTTACATTTTAGTGGTCAATTGACCAAGTTACATCTTTTAATTAATTATTCTTTCCATGTAAGGTCTTGGTTGAGATAAAAAAAATTTATTAACACTGATAATAAGCTCCTTAAATTCCAACTTGCTATCAAACAAGATACTCCTGTATAGTGATAGATATTCTTTTTAGTGTGGTATTATTTAGAGAAAAATTGTATAAAATGGTGTTGGAAGAACAATTACCAGATAACGCAGGAAAAATCAAGATGGGATCTAACAAATGAACTTGTGTGTTATATTGAAACAGAAATAGAAATATATTTATTTTTTAAAAATTCACAATAGGGCTTGGCCCCTTTGCAATGAGTAGAGAAATGTAAAATAATTAAATAACAAAATGGTTAACAAAATATAATGCAAGAAATAATAATTAATAAACTCAATTTGTACGATATTAACATAGTTGAATATGAATGACAAAGAGAAGTAGGTATAAAAGGAAAGTGTAAAAGAGAATAGCAACAAGATCAAGTTAAATCATGTTAGTTTGATCAAATCATGGATTGTTTGCAAAAAAGTTGAAAGCTTCATGCCTGAAAGCCTACCTAAAGGGGTGGGTCGGCCTAAAGGGAAGCCCACGGATACTGAATCATTCATAGATTTGGATCTATTATGCAAGCTTTTTATAATATTTAAACTACAGAAAGAATTAAAATCAAATATTATGAATAAGTGAATAGTATAATGAGTTTATAAACAAATTTTATTAGATGACCATATACTAGAGCGTTGTTCAGAGCGAAAAGTGACTAATTTATGGGTTTGGGGACCTCCTTCATACCATAAATCTTATTAACAATGGACTTTTCTCAATTCAATAATTAGAACAGTTCGTGATCTTATGTTCCAAATATTAGGTATTTTGCAAAATTCACATTTATTATTCTGTTGATGATTTATTTTATCTATTTTATTATTGATTTCAACTCAAAAACTGTTTTTACTAACCAAGTTATGAGATACATTGTTCCACAAAAAAAAAGGTGCACTATGAAATTTTGATTCCTTTTAAATTTGACAATGTTTTAGCCCTATTTTTAGTTTTACTACTTTAAAAATTATTTAATAATTATACTTACACAGAATTTGTTTTTGTCACTGACAGTGAGGCAAAACTGCTTAATTCATAATTTGATTTAAAATCTCCACAGTGTAAATCATCAAGGGCATTTAATCCTTTAGAAAAGTCTTTATTCAATTTTGTGCTGGAGGCACAAAACAAAAACGATACAAAAATGCCTATAATCAGCGAATAAGTTGCCTGGGACGTTGCACTCGTTGAGGATGGAAGAAATCAGCGTTACGCTGAAAGAGTTTTAGATTTGTCTAAAACGTCTGTTGTCGACATTCAATGATACCAGGAGATTGCGAGTACAGAGACCATGACCAAGATGCCTAAGAACCAAGGGACCAACTGACTACCAATTTATCAGATTTCACACTCTGATCGCTTTTCCATTGCTTCTGAAGCGTCTCAAAGACTTCAAACTGTGCGAGATGTGTCCATTAGCAGTAAAACATTAAGAAGGAGACTTACAGAAGTGATTCTGCATCCCATAAGGCCAGCAACGGGTGCAGTGCTTCCAACCCTCTTCGGGACCATTTAGAGTTTGCAAGGGACACTGGCATTGGGCGGAAACAGTAATGAAGGAATGTTATATTTTCAGAGTGCCAGTTTTCTCTCCATGGATGTCTTCACGTTTATCAAGCAGATGTAGAGCTCTACAGCCAATGCTACGATTCAGATAGGTGAAGAGTGGAATTTCTTCGGAGGCAAAAACAAAGTTACACATAATAGGAATTCGCATAATGCAGAAATCTACACAACAGAAATTCTTGAGGAATGTGGTGCTATTAGCTTTGTTTATTTCCCTACCATCCATAACCATTGGCGATTTTCGTTTATGCAATATAATTCAAGACCATCTGTTACCACCAGTGTTATGCAGTACCTTTGGGATGTCAACACTTACACCCTAAGACACCCTGTCCAAATTCCCAATTTGAACCACATTGAGTACTTTTGGGACAAGCTTGGACGTTGGTAAAACGAAGAAATAACCCTCCTAGCCTTAGCTGAGCTGAAGGTTAAGTTAGTTGAGATTTATGCAACATAATTCAAGACCATCTGTCGCCACCAGTGTTATGCAGTACCTTTGGGATGTCAACACTTACACCCTAAGACACCCAGTCCGAATTCCCAATTTGAACCACATTGAGTACTTTTCGGACGAGCTTGAACGTTGGTAAAACGAAGAAATAACCCTCCTAGCCTTATTATTGAGCTGAAGGTTAAGTTAGTTGAGATTTGGGATGAAATTCCTCAAGAAGTGGTTAAAAGCTTATTTATGATTATGATTAGAGTCTGTAAAAAGAGCAAGAGGAGTTTGTACAAAAGAGATTTTTTTTTTAATTTTCATTTTACCACTAACCAAATCTTTTAATAAATATCTGAATTAAAAAAATATCAGTGTTAATATTTCTGAAAAGGCAAGTACATAAAAAATATCCAAATTTCAAAATGTGCCACTTTTTGTGGAGCATTTAGTTATCTGACTTGTGATTAATTTTTTTTAATTCTTTAAAGAACTTTTTGAATGCAAAAATCCATATTGAATCTAGATCTCCTTATTCTATTGCCTTAAAAATACCTCTTTTGTTGACCTATTAATTACAGTTGACCTGTATGATTTTGTATCAAGATTTTCTTTTAAATTTATTTTGTATTAAGGCAGTTTTTTTGTAAAAACATAAAGAATAAATGATCGTTCTATAGTGTAAGGATGGTTTGTAGCGCACTGAATGGTAATTTCCTTTGGGTCCTAGGTCCATGTCTATTTTTGATCTATGGTGTTGAACTGTAATCGGGCCGTTGGTTGGTCTGTTTCAGTTCTGGGTCGTCGATTCGATAAAAGTAGGATGTGAGTGGATTAAAACAGTGTAGATTTTCGTCTCAATTCTGCATTCAAGAAGAAATTGATTTTTTTTAACTTTACATCAGTTTTGAGGGACAAATGACACGGTTTATCTTCGTATTCGAGGGGGGCGCTCGGATTCTTCGTCTCGCGTTCGACAGGGCGATCTGCTGGAATCGCTGTCGGCGGAACGGTTGGCACTGATCCCATCCATTCCAGCGGTCGTTTTTATCTCCAACGGAGGAAAACATTAGAAAGTTGTCTCCGATCGCCCAATCCCCATGGAGAAATTGACTTTTTTCCTCATCCCAGTCCGACCTCCGCTATGCAGTGCTCTCTCGAAACTTTCAAAATGAACTGTAAATGAGACTTTTATTTTCAAACCGATTTCGGAATTTTGACAGGTTAATGGCTCATCACTCTTATTTAAAACAAAAAAAGTGTTTTTATTTAAATGAAAGTATTTTAAAAAGCATATCACGGAGTGTTGGTTCGTCAGATAATATCCATTACTAGTGTTATCAACAGGTGGATAAAATGCATGAATTGTTTACCCAAGTGCTCAGCAAAAAAGACTTGTCAAAGGTATTTGCAATTTGCATACAATTTTTTTTTTAAATAAATATTTACTTAGGTCAATCATAACAATTCACACATACAGCAACCAACATGATTTTATTTAAAAAAATATATATTTTCTATATTCAGATTTCTTTATTTAATTTAAAACAAAATTATTAAAACAAGTAAATCAATTTAGCAAGTGTTTCTTCAACCATGGCATAACAGTCTTCATAAATATATTCAATTTATTATTTTTTAATTGCATCTATATCAAGCATATTGGAACCCGAACGTGTCCAAGACTACACAAATGGAAGCTTTTAGGAAATTGGATACTTCATTTGTCATGCATAGAAAAAATTAAATTAATTTTTCTGACAGGACATTATCATGGTCCTTTGCAATTTGATTGAGGATCGGGTAAATAATCATCAGATGAAGAAAACTCCAAAAACATGCCGATTTGTCATCGTATGTTATAACATTTTCAGGGTCTAAATAAAATACACGTATTTAATACCAAATGGCTCAGACGATAAATGTTTTCACAGATACAAATTTAGATTTGTATTTACATTACTGTAAGTAATACAGCCTACTCCGTCGTAAACTAGGAAATGCTACAATATTTGCTTCTAATGCGATGTGATCTTAACAATCATAAGTCAGAGCTATGTTACAAAATTTCCCTATGTGATATGGTCTGATCGATCTTAAGCCAGTTAATAAATACTACAATAGATGCTTGAAAATGTGGTCTTAAAAATCATAAGCTAAAGCGATGTTACAATATTTGCCCACGATGTGATGTGGCCTTCTTAGGTGTAAGCCTTTTGGATATGCAATTTTTTCCTGATATTGCGATAGTGTTACATACAGTTTTATTATAAATATTTACTTAGGTCATTCATCACAATTCACACACACAACCAACATGGTTTAATATAAAAAAATATCATATCATCAATTTATTATTTTTTAATTGTTCCAATATCTAGCATATTGCAACCCAAACATATCCAAGACTACACAAATGGAAGCTTTTAGGAAATCGGATACTTCATTTGTCATGCATAGAAAAAATTAAATCAATTTTTCTGACAGGACATTATCATGGTCCTTTGCAATTTGAGTTAGGATCGGTAAATAATCATCAGATGAAGAAAACTCCAAAAACATGCTGATTTTTCATCCTATGTTATAACATTTTCAGGGTCTAAATAAAATACACGTATTTAACACCAAATGGCTCAGACGATAAATGATTTCACAGATATAAATTTATATTTACATTACTGTAAGTAATGCTTTTATGCGATGGTGTTACAGTTTTGTTATAAATATTTTTTAAATAAAACCATGTTGAAATAAATTTTTCACATCACATCAAATCACAGGTCATTCATCATAATTCACACACATAACCAACATGGTTTTAATATTTTCTTTGGTGATTGATCAGCCTAAGGCGATATATTCTGCCGAAAGCTCGACAAGAAAATAAATGTTGTTTCTGTCTTCCTGGCCTCATCCCCAATCTACCTTTTGGAAAGAAAAAAATATATTTCATCATGGTTTTATTTAAAAAATATCATATCTATTTATTATTTTTTAATTATTCCAATACCTCGCATATTGCAACCCGAATATGTCCAAGACTACATAAATGAAAACTCTTAGGAAATCGGATCCTTCTTTTGTCATGCGTTAAAAAAATCAAATCAATGTTTCTGACAGGACATTGCCATGGCCCACTGGTTTCATCATACCAATCGAAAGCCTAAATAAAAACTTTACAATCCAACAAACAATCCTTGCAATTTGACATCGGATGAAGAAAACACCAAAAACGTGCTGAGCTTTTGTCATATAATGCCTTCAGGTTCTAAATAAAACAAAATACAAGTTTTTAATACCAAACCGCTCAGACGACAAATACTTTTGCAGATACAAATAAAGATTTATATTTATCATACTGTAGGTAGTATGGTCTCTTTGGTTGCAAACCAGCAAATGCTACAATATTTGACTGTAATGTGACGTGGTCTGATCAATCATAAGCCAGTTAATAAATACTACAGTAGTTGTGTGAAAATGTGATGTGGTCTTATTGATCATTAGTCAGTTAATGCTGCAATATGTTTTTTTTAGAGTAAGCCAAATATTTTTTTAATAATGCAATGAGGTCTATTGGTCACAAACCAGTAAATGCTGCAATATTCGCTTATAATGTGATGTGGTCTTCTTAAGTGTAAGCCTTTTGATATACAATATTTGACTATAATGCGATGATGTTATATACAGTTTTATTATAAATATTTACTAAGGTCAGTCTTCACAATCCACACAAACAAACAACATGATTTTATTTTAAAAAAATCATATTTTCTCTATTCAGATTTGTTTATTTAATTTAAAACAAGAAATTTATTTTTTTTTAAATAAATCTATTTAGCAAGTACTTCTTCTTCAATACATGACATTCCTTCTGGAATATTTTCAATTTATTATTTTTTAATTGTACCAATTATTCCAATACCTTCCATATTGCAACCTGAACATGTCCAAGACTACACAAATGGAAGCTTTTAGGAAATCGGATACTTCATTTGTCATGCATAGAAAAAATTAAATCAATTTTTCTGACAGGACGTTGTCATCGCCCACTGGTTTCATCTACCAATCGAAAGCCAAAATAGAAATTTTTGAAATATTGAGAAACAATCCTTGCAATTGCATGAAGATCAGGTAAATGAACATCAGATGAAGAAAACACCAAAAAGTGCCGAGCTTTCATTGTATATTATAACTTCTTCACAGCCTAGATAAAACAAAATACAAGTTTTTAATACCAAATGGCACAGATGGCAAATCCTTTTTACAGATACAAGTTAAAATTTATGTTACTTATAAAAATGTAAACTTTTTGAGCATAAGCCAGTGAATGCTAGAATTTTTCTATTATTTGCCTGATAATGCAATGTTGCCTTCTCAGGCAAATATCAGGCCAATGCAACAAATTTGCCTTATAAGTTGATTGTTCATCTCGTTCATAAATCGCCATAATACTACAATATTTGCCTGATATGACAATATGGTCTTCTTGGTTCTAAACCAATTAATGTTCCGATGTGTGGTTTTTTCCATCTTACAAAGCTCTTATTCCAGCTAAATATGCAGCTTTAAAACGATAGTGGTTCAGTAGCATAAACAAAAACTATGAAACAATTGTAAAATATAATAAAGTGTTATGAATAACTGTACATCAAAACTGACTTTGTTTCCACATATTTAATTCCATAAATACAATTTTCTATGATTTGCAAGATTAAATAAATTAATCCAATAAAAATTGTATTTTTTTTATTAAATTAACTGCTACATAAATTCAAATTATTTAAATGCATCTAATTAAAAATTGATTCTAGTTCCAAATGCCCAATTTTTTATTTTTATAATGTAATTATCATTCAGAAATCGTGAGATGCGGTCTGGTGTGATGTAGGTTTCAGAAAAACATTTTCTTTATCGTGCCAACGTTTCGACCTTTATTGAGATCATCTTTAGGGCCTGGGATTTACAAACATTGTTTACATTTAACAAATACATGTAGGATGTGGAAAAAAGTGAATTTATACAATGCAAAATATATTTTTTTATATTCAATCAAAGTGTTTCTACTGTAATTATCTTTCTCTTTTGCAACTATCATAAAAGTCATTCTAGACAATTATTATTTTGCTAAATAAATTTGTTTACAGGCTGGAGACTTGTTTTCTGTCGCTGACCAAGCCATAGTCGACGATTTGACTGAAGTTGTAAATAAAATATGCGACATTACAAGTCTTCCCGATTACGTAAACAATGACAATGACCAAAGTGTTGTTGAAATATGCATTACCAGAGTGACTTCGGCAATCAGGTACATTAAGCACTTTCAGCTTTCAATGTTGTGAAAGAATAGAAAAATAAAAAGACTAGAAATAATTGTTTGTTTTGTATAGAGAGACGAGCTCGATGGAACAGCATGCCGAAGCACTTGTCGGTTTACTCGAGTCGTGCTTAAACCACAATCTTAAGCCTTCTCCTAAAGATGAAGATCCACCACATGCAAAGATATCATCAGATATCATTTCATGCATTTTTCTGGTATGAATTATTAAACAGTTTTATTATATGAAATATTTATATTTATACATTTTTTTTAGAATTATAACAAGAAAGATGTGATGAAAAGGGCTCTTCCAGTTGCAGTGAAGTTCCTTCATAAGGGTAACAAGGAACTTTCCAGAAATATGGCATCATATTTATCGTTAGCAGCGATAGATAATGCGGATCTTCTTTCGAGCCATATTCAGCTCATTATTGATTCCATTATTTCTGGTTTGTTTTTGTAGAAATTTTCTGTATTACATTGTAGTTTTAAAACTGCTATTTTACTCGCAGGAAATTATCCATTATGCAGAGTTCTTCCACAAGTTTATGATGTCAGTAAAGAGCCAATTCACGATCACTGTATGGCGTTGGTGTCTCTCCTTCCTCCTTGTGAACACCAAGAAAGGCTGGCTCTTTTGCAACTCTTTGGATTAATTGCTAGCAACAAGCCTTCTGTATGTTTTCTTTTGGGATTGAGTTTCTTGTTTAATGTAATAATTTTTTGTTTTGTTTAATATAGTTATTAGAACCCAGCTTACCTCAATTATGTGAGTATTTAGCGATTGGAGCTACTGCAGGAGCAACAATGCAGGTTCTTTTGAGACTGGCTGAAAAGAAACCTCATCTTCTTATGGATTGTGTTCCAAAAGTAAAACAAGCTGCGGAAACTTTCCCAGCTACATTATGCTTAGCTGCACAAGTAATTGCTGCTGTTGGTAAACTGAGTAAGGTAAAGAGCTTTTTTAAATTATAAATTGTTAAAAACAATCTTCGTGTAAATTTTATTTAATTTTTAGGATAAAGCTCAGGAAGCTTTAAATTTCGTGTTGGAACATCTCAGCAAAGCAGAACGTGGAAGTCAAGGGATGCTTTTACGCGAAGCTACTTTACTTTGTTCAAGTTACCCTGTTCTTTTTACTGACAAGATGCTAGCTGAAGTGAGGAAAAACAGGATCAATCACGGAATGTATGTTTTTTACTGTAAATTTTTTTTTCTAGATTGTACTAATTATTTTAAAACAGCTCCCAGGTGAACCAGACTTCAACAGGAGTGACAATTGTAAAAGTAGGAGAACAATTAGCTTGCGGGACTAGCAGCAATAACAACAATCCTAACATAAGCAATAACAATCTCTCACAATCCAAACTTTCATCTCCTCCTTCTACAACAAGGTAGATTTTTTCCTTTCAAATAGAAAAAAAAAAATTAAGATTTTAATTTTTATTATTTGGAGGTTGTGAGGGGCGTTCTGGTGTGACGTAGGTTTTAGAAAAACATTTCTTTATCATGCCATCGTTTCGATCTTTATTGAGATCATCTTCAGGGCCTAGGATTTATAAACATTGTTTAAATTTAACAAATAGGATGTGGGGGAAAAAATGAATTTATACAATGTTAGAAAATTTTAGATTAAAAAAAAGGCCCTGAAGATGATCTCAATAAAGATTGAAACATTGGCATGATAAAGAAAATTCACTAATTTCGTGGTCTGCTTGACCAATTAATATATTACAATTAATTAAGGTTTTTAGTTGAGATAAAAAAGTCAATGGCACGAGCGGGATTTGAACCCACGATGTTCGGCTAGATACGCCGCTGCTCTACCACTTGAGCTATCATGACCCAATCCACTCGGACACTAACTTCCCATCTCAACCCCACCTTTTGAATTTTCCCTCCTTTTTGCCATTTTTCAAATGTGATGTAATCGGATTGGATTCTCGACGACAAATAAAATGGCCACGGAGAGCTTTAGTGAAGTATACTTAATTTTAAATCATTAAATTCACTAATTTCGTGGGTTCGAATCCCGCTCGTGCCATTGACTTTTTTATCTCAACTAAAAACCTTAATTAATTGATAAAGAAAATGTTTTTCTAAACCCTACATCACACCAGACCGCAACTCATGATCAAAAAATAATCATTGACTAACGGTCACTAAACACCACATTTAATTTTTCAGAACAATAGAGCACACATTGAATAGGAGTGAAGGAGGGAGAGTTATGGTGACTCCGCGGCCAAGATTGGGCGGAGATAGCCGGAGCACTCCGAGGCTTCATTCATCAGCAGCCCATAGAAGTATGACGAGGCTTAACAACTTACTCCCTACAGTCTGTAAGTATTTTACACTTTGAGCTTAAAAAAACTATTGTTGTAAATTTACGCCTGTTAGCAAGCGGAAGCGGAAGTGGACTCCATAAAAGCATGACGAGGCTTCCTTCAGCAAATAACAGTGTTACTACCATAACGAACCATCCCAAGAGTAAAATTTCCTGCAGCGGAGTTACCGTCACGACAAACCATAGCCCAACATCGTAAGAATTTGATGAACAGTGTATTAAATTTGTTTGTTAAAGTTTTTGTTAAAAAAAAAATTCATTTCAGAGGATTAAGGGAAGATAGAGAAAGTTCAGTCGTCTCATCTACTGTAACAGGAGTTAACTCTCCTTCAACTACTACAGGAGGTGAGTAAAATTTAAAAAAATCAATAATAATGTGGTAACTATTTTCTTATTACATCTGCATTCTTGCTATAAATCTCATTTGATTTTAGGCTGTGTGATATTTTGTTGAGGTCTGCGAGGTTATAAATCCGTTCTCCCTGACCTCGTCTGTCTAATTTATTTTGTCTTCAGGCCAGGTTTATCAGAAATTACAAAGCCACACATTTTTTTTAAAGTTTTCTAAAACAATATTTTGTAAATTATAATTTATTAGCTTTCAAACAATTAGTGATAAAACTAACACTAACTCATCCAGAATAAATATTAGATATAGTGTTTTTTAGTGACTGGTAATTCGATAGTTTGTTCAATTTGTGAAGAGTGGTCATTTTAGAATTACACCTTTTTCATTTTTTTGCCTTCGTTTCGACCGTTATTTTGGTCATCTCCATGGCTTAAAGTGTAGTGCTATTCTTGGGGTGTCATTGGTTTTTACACAAAACACTAGGCACTGAAGATGACCCAAATAAAGGTTGAAACGTGGGCAAAAATTAAAAAGGTGCTTTTCCAAAATACTTCATCTTGACCGCAACTCACGACTTAAACAAATTATTAGATATAATGGAAATAGACAGTACAGGATGATCAGAAACAATTAAGATAATGAGTAATGTACCACATTATGTAAATACAATAGAAATCCGTTTATCTGAACTTGGAGGGACAGGACTTGTCCGGATGATTGAAAGTCTGGATTGATTTTATTAGTATTGTGTCAAAAAACAGAACAAACACATACGAAAGCGAACACTTTTATTCATATATCAGGTTGCATTTAAAGTAATAGATCATTTTTATTAGTTTTATTTTTATTTAAGTCTGGACACACGTTTCTCAAAAAATTTATATGTAAAAAATACCTAATAAAAATATACGTAATAAAAAACCTTTTCAATGGAAGCCTACATACGAACAACACAACAATTTCTATTTGTTTATTTTTTTATACCTTTTATTATTTTTTATTTTATTTTTTTTAACAAAAATGTGGCTGTCGGCCTCTCCAGCCTTATTGATTGATTGTCTGACTAGTGGAAGGATGGAGATTTGGTAGCCTTTATGAATTTTAAAAAATTAATATACATACATTGAGAATTATGAAGAATTTATTTTTAAAAAATGTATGGTGTTTAGTGATCGTTAATTAATGATTATTTGGAGATCGTGGGACTATACCATTTTACACTACTATACCAGACGGCAACTCACGATCTCCAAATAATTTATAAAAAATATTTTAACAAACGGGTCCGGATAAGCGGGTTTCTACTGTACTCGCTTAACCCAAATTCTCATTGACAGAACAACAAAAGTTTATATTTAATGTAGCAAAAATATTTTAACACGTGCAAGAGCAGGCTGCAGCAAGAGGAGGCTGCAAGGATGGGGATCACCGATTTTAACAAAACTTTTGTGGTACTACTAGATCAAAAAATTAGACTTGCCAAGTGGTTAAGGATCCAACTCGTCTTTGCCATGCTAGTGATTCTGAGTTTGAACTGCAGCATAACTCATGGAGTTTTAATTAGTTGTAGTATACAAAATGTATTGTAAAGTGGTTTGACCCCCCTCACTCACGATATTTAATCACCACAAACTCTTACTTTACTTTTACTATGATTAGACACATGTCAATACCTCAAATGATTTATTTTTTTATCTCAGGTTGAAATGTATTCTCAGAGGGGATGTTCGTTCCATTGTGGGTAGTTTATAAGGATCTAAAGCCCTGTTTTGTTTCCAGTAGATCGATGGAACTGGCGAACTAGGATGATAGATGATTCTAGGGCTAAATGAAACTCGTCAATCCCCTAGATTTATTCTGTTTATAATTCAGTCCTATACTTAACAGCTACTTATTTGATATTATTTATTGTATTTTTAATCTAGTTCTATATATAATGCTAGTGATTCGATTTATATTAAGCAGGGCGGGTGATCAAGACCCGAGGGGTTAAATGCCAGGGTAGACTCGTATCCCAGCGATTCGATAGTATTTATTTTATTTAGTCCTAACTTACAGCTTTATAATTACTAGGTCTCAGCAAAAAAAAAGGGTGGGGTTGGATAGCGTTCACTAAAGAATTTAACATTCAGGTTCACCTCAAACTCTAACTAAAACAGGCACTCACCAATTACTCGGCCAGTAGGACAACCCTCCACATAGTACAATTCTTAACATATTCTATTTGCACTGACTCCTCTACCTACATCCTCTGACCGGCCGGATTGCTGATACAGCACCTAGGCACCCCTTTTGCCAACACCATTACTTATAATATTCTTACTTATAAAATTCAATCTAATTTAAATTAACATTTCAATCTAATTTAAATTAAACATGCCATTCACTGGTTACAGAATCGTTTCACGTTTTCACCATTTTTGTATTATTTGAAGAAAAAAAATTTGGTACAATTTGTTATGTTGCTTGGTCATATATTATGTATTTTAATATTTATGATATCCATTGCCTAGCTGTCAAATATAATTTTGACATAATCAAATGACTTAGAAAAGTAGGTGAAAATACTTTTTTTTTAACAATAAACAAAATTGATATTAATTTTTTGCACCCCCAAAACCCTTGGATACAAGTTTTAGAGGAAATCAAAAAAATAGTTTGCTCTAAAAATTTTTGTCTCTGATTTTTTCCGAAAATCGCAAATGTCGATAATTTTGAAACAACTCAACCACTGGAAACCTTGATAGGGGTTGTAGACCTTATAAACTACACGTTATGGCAGAAATGTTACCTCTGTAATAAATCAGAACGTAGATGAAAAAATAAAAATGTTTGAGGAGTTTTTGCTTTCATTCTTATTTTTCTCACTAACATCTAAACATTGTTGTCTTGGCCTGAAAGAAGAAATATTCTGCTTTGTATCTAACCTCATTGAATACAATTTTGCATATTGGTTTCTTATACTATGTAAAAACGACAAATTGACTAATACTTAATAACCTTGAAATACGTACATAACAAAACAGAAAAGTATATTTAAAAAAATTACTCTAAATATTTTTTTACCTAAGCTCTTAGAGAACTTTTGGCAATAATTCATGTCCAGTTGGCTATAAGTGTCTAATATTTTGTTAATGAGTATCAGCAAAAAAGTTTCGTTAAAATCGGTAATCCCATGCCTATAACTTTTCCTTGTTAGGACATTTTGTTTTCTAAATCTACTTTTTTAAATTTACCTTCCAATACCAGAATGTATATTTTTGTACCTTTCAGTCATTAAATTATTCATTTATTTAATTCACAGTGAGCTCGAGTGGAGTATCTGTGAGCCAGACTCCTTTATCTATGAGTTCTAGCCATGCTTTGGTAACACCGAGAAGGACGAATACAAGCGTTACAATTATAAACCATAACACCAATGCTGCAATTGTTGCTAACTCCCAGGTAAAATTAAATATATTCATTTTATTATCCATTTGTTAACGCTTATTTTTTCTTTAGAGGATAAGCGTTTTTGAGCCATATCCCATGAGAGACACAGTGCAGCATTTCTGCGAAAAACACTTGGACAAAATTAAGGCTTACATGAAGAAAGTATCGACGAGAATACCGCTACCGGCTAAATGTACAATCGAAGAAAGGAGGGCGAAAAAGATGGTCAAGCTACAATTTGGCTGCGATGGAAGAGGGGAGCATTGTTTGTACTCAAAAACACTGTTTACCATGAGGAGCCGCAATCCACGTGTTTGGATTCATCTTATGTTTCTCGCACTTCAAGTATGACGCATCTATAATCTCTGAAATTGTTTAATTTTTATTTATATGAAATTTCCAGGCTAAGTCGCAAAGTGCACTCAGCTCACGGCATTCTGCAGTCACTGCTCTTAAATATTGCTGGGATATCTTAAAGTGTGAAAATAAGCCTTTTGTTACACTGGTTACATCGGCTTTTCCTTGTCCAAGGGTTAGTTAAATTACTCAATTAATCATGGTCAGATTTTGAGTATCTTTTCTCCTTCTCAGGATCAAGAGGCTGTTTTAAATGAACTAAGAACAGCTGGGTTTTGTGATGTATTTGAATACAGCCCTACTCTTCCGTCGTCTTCCATCAGTAGCAATTTATCTGGAGGACCGGTAAATAATATGGGCTGGTGGGGTTGTTTTTTGTGTAACCATCCTGAGAGAGCAGTAGGCTTCCTTCAAGACTCGAGGCCAGTTATCGAGGGCCAGCTCAAGGAAAAAAAGGGTAGATGGAGGATGTTCAGGAGGTGGAGGACTAGATATTTTACACTCTCGGGTGCCCGGTTGGAATATAAAGCAGGGGTAAGTATTATCAATTAAATAATCCCTTATTGAAATTTATGGTGTATTTGTTTGTTTTTTTAACAGAAGGATGAAAAGGATGCCAGGCCAATTGACATCCACCAAATAAGGAGTGTGAAAGTATCAAGAGGGGCGAGAAATATTCCAAAAGCGTTTGAAATATTTACAGGTGACAATTCACTGATACTTAAGCCTAAGGGAGGGAAAAACGCAGAAGAATGGGTCCAATGTCTTTCAGTCGTCGTTGCTCACTCCCAAGCTCGGGAAGTGCCAACTAGGGGTTCTAGTCTTGTGAGGACTGCAGTTTAATTTTTTTTTTTCTACCTTACAAAACAACTTAAAATTATAATTATCTTTAATGGTGTTTGCCAAAGTTAAGAAAAATTTATCGTAGAAATTGTGTTTCAACATAACACAGTTTTTTTACTTATTTTATTTATATAAGACAGTGCAAAATGCAGAGAACCATTTGGCCAAATAAGGAGACTGTTAATCAATTTTTATATGTTGTTATTTTCCACTAATATATTTTTATAACTGCATGTATTAAATACTTATGTACTTAAGTTTTTTTGTTATTGTTTTGATATTTGTACTCGACTTTTTTATGTAAATATATTTATTGTTGTAATTATTCAGAATCATTATTATATGCATATAAAATACTTTATGGAATTTGAATTTTATAATTATATTTATTATAATGAATGAATATATAAAAAAATTATTCTCGTTTTAATTTTTTGGTTATGATTAATCAATTTAAAAAAGTTACCTTACTTAAAACTTACCCAATCATTGTTAAATAAAATAAAAATAGACTTTATTGGACTTTCACCCCGAAGGGTTGTCATTCCCCGGTGTGCTGACCTTAGGGTTTATACATCAGGGAGTTCGCCATCCTGTTATGTGTTATGTGGCTGGGTCGCTAGTATCCCCTTTAAGCCATATACCATCGCTTCCTGATCGACAGAGTTAGGCTCCGGCAGGGGCTATCAACAACTAGGTCATTTCAGCCCCAAAAGCATGGAGTCTGTAATCTAGCTTAATACTTGCTATTTAAATTGGATATATCATTCGCACAAATAAATACATTCATACATTGCACTAATTCTGATTAGTCGGTGGGGTACCGGATATTCCTCTGTCAACCTATGCACAGTATTAATCGTCTAACATAAATTAGGATCAATGAGGTAGTTTTAAAAATATTCTGTCATTGACCCTAAGCATACCCTAGCTGGAGGGGTGATGGTGATGCAATATATCACCATTACCACTCACTAACAGGGGACCCAGAAACTGACTACTGTGCCCAAGAACCAGTAAGCCTGGACGCTTTCTGGTTAGGGGTTTAATATCCTTAACAAACATGCCCCCTTAAAAACCCACACTATCCGTCGTCCTCCTGCTCCCTGGTTAAACGATGAAATTAGAGCCCTAATTAAAAGACGGGAAGCGGCAAGAAGGCGTTTTCGTCGAACTAAACTTCCTGAAGACCACTCTTCCTTCCGAGCCCTTCGCAATAAAACCCAATCCTATATCCGTCGGGCCAAAGCCCTTCATTACCAAGAGGCACTCTCCACCACTCCTGATCCTAGAGCAAAATGGAAGCTCCTTCGTAACATTGGCATATGTCGCCCACCCAACTCACCATCTTCCTATCCTGTCTCCCCTGAAGAATTAAACACCCACTTTGTCTCGCCTAACTCTTCTTCATCAATGCCTGTCCTCATACCTGCCCCCTCTCGTCCCTCATTCAGTTCGTCTAACTTCTATTTCTCCTATCTAACCCCAGCCGAAGTCCTCGAGGCCATAACCAAATCCCACTCCAATGCCATGATGGCATCCCTACCCATTTTCTTAAACTCTGCCTCCCAATATTACTACCTGTTCTACTTCACATATATAACTACTCAATCCAAAACTCTGTCTTTCCGACAGCCTGGCAAAAAGCTCTTGTCTACCCTGTCAATAAAACCCCCAATCCATCCTCCTCTACAGACTACCGTCCAATTTCCATTCTCTCAAACCTGTCCAAGCCCCTAGAAAGATTAGTCCAAGCACAAGTCTCCAGGGACCTTGAACAGTCCCATCTACTCAACCCCCTCCAGTCTGGCTTCCGCCAAGGTTATTCTACCCAATCAGCACTAATAAAAATTACCAGAGACCTCCACTTAGCAATGGACCAACGGAAGTTATTATACTTGTCCTTCTTGATTTTTCTAACGCCTTCGATTCTGTCCCTCACTCTTCTCTCCTCTCTAAACTCGAATCTTTTTCCTTCTCCGCCAGCACCATCCATTGGTTCCACTCCTACCTTACCAATTGCCACCAAGCTGTCTCCCTTCCCAATGGCCTTACCTCCTCCTTCCTCCCTCTAAAATCTGGGGTGTCCCAAGGCTCTAGCATCTCTCCTATCCTTTTTTCCATTTATATCAATGATCTGCCCGACTCCATCCAGCCCTGTAACTATCACCTATATGCCGATGACTCCCAAATATACATATCCTTCCACCCTTCCGATCTTCACTCGGCCACTCTCAAGATCCAAAAAGACCTAAACTCCATCAACGAATGGGCCCATAAAAATTCCCTAGTCCTCAATCCGTCCAAATCCACCGCCATAATTATCGGGTCCAGGCAACTCCTCAATTCCCTCCCCAGCATCCCACCTCTCATGCTAAATAACCATCCCATCCCCTTCTGCTCTTCGGTTAAAAACCTAGGAGTAGTCTTTGACCAAAACCTTTCCTGGCATTCTCACATTTCCCAAATTTCCCGCCATTCCATTGCCTCCCTCAGCCTGTTTCGTCGGTCCTGGCTTCTCTTACCTTTCTCCACCCGCAAACTCCTTGTATCTTCCCTTATACTTCCCTTCTTCGATTATAGCCGTTTGGCATACGGTGTCTCTCGGAGGGGGAGAACGCGCGATTGAAGCGTATTATGAATTATTGCGTAAGATTTGTGTACGGCACCCCACGAGGATCCCGGGTGTTGGGGTTGTATTCCCAACTTTCCTGGCTATTCCCCTCGTTCTGTGCACAGTATTTCCTAGGTTGCTTTCTTTTCCAGTCCATCCACACTCGTCGTCCTCCTTACATCATCCAATCCCTCCAATTCAACTCCTCACATCTCACTCGTAAGACCCGCTCATCCCCAATTGACTTTATCCTACCGCAACATACAGCCCATACCTTCGAAAGATCCTTTCTGATCCGAGCCCCCTAAATTCTGGACTCCCTTCCCCTTTCTATTCGTCACGCTGCCTCCTTTTCCTCCTTTAAATCCCACCTGTATAATCACCTCCTCTCCCTCCAAGCATAGACCTCACGTTAACATTTGTTATTTTTGTTTAATATTCTCGTAATTTTTTCTTCTGTCCTGTCTTATTGGTATACATTGTGCCAAGATTTCTATCTTTTTTTTTTACTTTTAACTTCATAGAAGGAACTTCCTTTATTTATTTCATGTAAATTATTCTTAGGGGACACCAGTCCCAGAATAAAGTTATTTTTCTTCTTCTTCTCTGTGTAGAGCCAAGACATGACACGCCTCTTATATGAGGCACATCAAGCAACCTTTCTCTGCATAAGGGGCACTTGCGCGGGCTTCGGCTCAAAAGCAGGTGCCCGAAATAGTCATTATTTCATAAATAGTTTAAAAAAATAAAGGCTCATGATCAATGTTGTAATTGGGTAACCATATAAAAGTTATGGATGGCTTAATTAAATCAAAAGTGAATCCGCAAGCCTTTTGTTTCTCAGAAACTACCTGGTTGAAGTATTAAATTTGAAAAAGATACTTGAAAAATGAAAACATTGCAAGTAATTGAACCCAGAATCACTTAACACTGTAAATAAGGGAATCAGATGACAGCCACAGCGGTCCTTTAACTATACAGACTATCTCATAAAATGAAATGCAAATGATAAGTCATTATTAAAAATAGATACAAATATTTATTAGGATTAATTTTTACATTTGACCACATTGAGATATTACAACTGGAATTTTAGGCTTGTTATTTGGGCCTGTAGGTACATTTTCAATTTTTCTCATAACAAGAAGTCCATCGATGACACGTCCGAAAACAACATGTTTTCCATCTAAAAAGTTGCATTTGGCACAGGTAATAAAAAACTGACATCCGTTTGTGTCTTTACCACTATTTGCCTGAAAAATAATACAATTTGTTTCGTACAAGAAGATTATGAAAATATTAATAAGTAAATAATAATACTAACCATAGATAAAAGACCGGGTGTGTCATGTCTGATATAAAAATTCTCATCGGGGAAACTAGAGCCGCCGTATATGCTCATGACTCCTGTCCCATCCCCCTGAAAAAATTAGTTTTTGATAGTACTAATATTAATTTAAATTAATACCAGCTAGCCATAAAAGTTTTTGCGGTTTTTCATATGTTATTGTTTTAATCAACATGTGACAATTTCTATTTACATAGGATGATTAGGTGTTCCCATCATATAATACAATGGGGATTAAAAAATTTTTATGGGTCGAAACCCATTTTAAAAAAGAAACAACACAAAAGTAAGGAGAAAAATACATACAATACAATGCTTATAACTATCTAAACACTAATAAAAAATAAAATACTCCACTATACATCAATGAAAAAGACAATAAAATCCTTATAAATAAAATAACAAAGATTTAATTAAACATCATAATAATGCATCAGTTATAAAGAAAGAATGTCTTGAACAATAGTTCACTGTAAGTTATAAAATATTTTCTTACTCTAGCTTCAAAACCAATAATTTGTGCTTATTGTATAAATTTAAGCTTGGCACTAGGGTGGCCGAGGCATCTTGTAAAATTTGCAGTGCATTCAATAGTACAACAATAGTGAGTGGTCTATTTAAAAGTTATTCAAACAATTAAATAAGGTTTTTAGTTTAGATAAAAAAGCCAATGGCACTAACGGGATTCGAACCCACGATCTTCGGCTTGATACGCCGCGGCCTAACCACTTGAGCTGTCGTGACCTCGATCCACTCGGACACCAACTTCCCATCTCAACCACACCTTTTGAATTTTCCCTCCTTTTTGCCATTTTACAAATGTCGTGTAATCGGATTGGATTCTCGACGACAAATGAAATGGCCACGGAGAGCTTTAGTGAAGTACACTTCATTTTAAATCATTAAATTCAATAATTTTGTGATCCACTTGAAACTCTCAACTAAAAACCTTAATTAATTGTAATATATTAATTGGTCAAGTGGACCACAAAATTAGTGAATTTAGTTGTTTAAAAAAGTACTACAATAAAAATAACTCATACACTGCATTTATTCTATTTGGTGGATGGAGTACTCACTATTCCTCCATCGACCTGCATACAATAACAAACTAATCTAAATGGAATCGATGGGGCACTTTTATAAACATTCTGCCATCGACTCAAGTCATGTACACAGCTCAAGGGGGGATGGGGATGCTTCCACCATCAGCCCCTCCCCATTCACTCTAATAAATACACTCACTCATACAAATCACAAAACACATATTTTGACAGCTATATACAATAAAAAATTCCCAATTCCCCTAAAATGGGAACCATGAAACTCGCACCGTGTCCGAGAACCATTCTTAAATCTGGCCGGATGGCTACACACTCTTTGTATGGGGCGCAATTATGTGGGACGCATAGACCTTTAATATTATTATAAGTGAGATTTGTTATTTTCTTATTCTATAAATTAATTGCCTTCCTGCAAATTGATTTTTTTTTTATTTTAGCAAAGCAGGTTGCAACAATTTTTTAGCAAGAAACAAAGTTGATATGTTTTCTACCCCTCAAAAAACCACTGATTTCAAATTTTTGGGGAAATCACAAAAACTCCACTGATCCTCATGAAACTTTGCAGGAATTTAGAATCCTATAAACTACTCACAAATACAAAACTTTTGCCTCAGATTGAACATTTCGGCGAGCTCTTGGCATGTTTGGCTGTAACAAAGTCCTCTAGTTTCCTTCAATTCGTCATTTTCAAAGATCTACAGACCTTGGTTCATCACCAATCCTCTCATTCACAGAAGCAAATTATTTTAACCACTTTTGGGCAGTGCGCTCGCTTATTATTTAATTACTGAACACATTGCAAATTTTACTTGCTGCCTCGTCCGCCCTAGTACTGAACATAAATTTATACAGTACGTAAATATGAATTATTGGTTTTTGATGCTATGAGAAAGAAAATATTTTTTAATTTACAATGAACTGTTCAAGGCACTTTTTCTTTATGAACTGAAGCATTATTTTCTTGGTATTACATGACAAAGATTGAATCCTCCTACATAAATAGAAACTTTCATTAAAGGTAATAAAGCATTAACAAATAACAAAACCGCCTAACTTTTCTAGTTACCGGGTAAGTCTTACATTAACAAAGTCTCCTCCTTGGACCTTTGAGGAAAAGGGTCAAGTTTCACACAAGAAAGCCCTGCGGGGGAACTCTAAACAGTATTGGAGGGAATATCTCTCCTCGAAAAAAGAATACAAAAGAATTGAGAAAAACTAAACGTAAAGCCTGGAGGGAATATTGTCTAAAGACAGAGAATATTAAGGAAAGTGCTCGATTTTTTAAACTTTTGGAAAAAGATTACATTAATCCTCTAGGTTTATTACAGGATGAAAATGGGGAGTATACCACATCTAGCAAGGAGACATTGAACCTAATGGCCAGGGCTCATTTCCCTAGGTCATACTCTTACCAAGGAAGAACTACCTGTACCAAACTGGATTAAGGCATATGAGAATCTCTTGGGAGGCCTACAAATGGGCGGTACATTCCTTCAAGAAGTTCAAGGTAGCCGAGATGGATGGAATATTCCCTGCCCTCCTACAACAGGATACACCTAGTCTATCTAGTACAGTTTGGGATCCCCTAAGGAGTAGCCTGGCATTGGGACACATACCAAAATGCTGGAAGCAAATAAGGGTAATTTTCTTACACAAACCAGGTAAGGTCTCTTATCAATTACCTAAATCATACAGACCTATAAGTAAAAATTCTATTTTCATAAAAATAATAGAGAAAATCCTAGATAAATACATTAGACATGACTGGAATTAATACCATGATACATCCCAATCAGCATGCCTATTTACCAGGAAAATCAGTGGAAACTGCTTTGCATTCACTGGTAGAGAAATCATTACTCAATAATGAATACACATTAGGGTGCTTCTTTGATATCCAAGGGGCGTTTGATAATGCAGACACTTCTTAATAGATACAATGTAGACCAACATCTCACAGGATGGATGAAAACCTACCTGAAGGGACTCATACATAAATAGAAACGTTCATTGAAGGTAATAAAGCATTAACAAATAACAAAACCGCCTAAACTTTTCTAGTTACCGGGTAAGTCTTACATTGACAAAGTCTCCTCCTTGGATCATAAAGTCCTTAATGACTCTGTGAAACGTGGCCCCCTTGTACCCAAGAGGCACACCGTCTTTCTTGTACTCTCCGGTGCAAAGTTGCCTGAAGTTTTCTGTAGTTTTTGGTACAATGTCTGAAAAGAGCTCGAGGACCATTCGGCCAATTTCCTGTAAAAATAACAAATAAAGATATAACTTTTTTATCTAAAAAAATTATTTTAACAGAAAATACTTTAGTAAGGTTTTTATATTTCTATGTTTAAATACCGTTGCTCCAACGCTGATATCAAGGAAAACAACAGGATTATTTGGGCTCCTCAATTGATTTTGAATTTGATTCCAAGAAGGCATTTCGCACTTATTTTAATTACTTATATTATACTTGAACCAGTAAAAAAAAACCGTTGCTGAGAGTCAACAAGAAACATGAAACCTCACAATCAAAACATGCTACAACCTTGTGGTTGATGTTGTCTAAAACAACTTCTCTGCTATCTATTTGTTTGTGCAGCAACTAATTATTACGTCAATGGAAGTAAAGCTGGAGAAATTATTAGTATAAAATAAAACAAGCTCAACTCCTGGAATTATTTTATAAAAAGAAATTTAAACTATTTCTTCTTGTTAGAATGAGCTCTGATTTCAAGCATAAAATACCTTCTTTGCTGTATATACCTTTAAATCTGTTTTTGTCAGTCTATTACTCTCTAACAGAATAATTAACATTTTAGTTAATAATAAAAAAATTAAATAATCTGTGCCGTTTATTGAACTGTCATCATTTAATATTTTGTCTAGTAAAATTGTGGAGAAAAACTCAATATAAAATAAAGCTTAAAAACTATTCTGTAAACATTGCAAACGCTTATTTAATAAATCTTGTTTAGTTGAATATTACTATAAAATAATAAAAACATTAATAAATAAAGAGATCATTATCACCTGATTAAGAATAGGCCATGCGAGGTTGACACAGGGACACATAATTTTTGGGCCAAAACCAGCGTATCTGTCTTTGGTTGCTTGATGTACCTCACTTAATTGAAATGTCATTCTTTGCTCCAAATAGAGAGCACGTTGGAATGCCTCCCGATATGAAAATTATTTATATAAAATTTGGGTCCTCTGTTACTATTTTTTGGTGAAACAGGGTTTCTTTATTGTATACAGTGCAGATAGTCTTGGGTCCCCTAGTGAGTGTTAAGAGTGAATTTATTTATTAGTGTGAATGTGTAGTCTTAGGAGGCATCAATCTACAATTATGTTAGTCTTACAATAGGTGTAAAGGATGATGGAGGAATATCAAGTACTACACTGCTCAATAGGTAATTAGGAAAGAATTTATTTAAGAATAAGTGAGAGTGAGAATGTTTAGTTTTAGGTACTGACTGCAAATGGGGCTGAAATGACCTTCCGATAGCCCTGGAATTCAACCTCAGTGACTGCACTGATAAGACTGAGGTCTGACCCCCCAGACTGCCAACACCTAGGGTGGGTGATTCTCAATCTGCTGGTATTAATAAATATTATATCTACAAATAATCATTAGTAACAAACAAAAAAAAAGCGTACAAAGCTTTTAAAAAAACATTAGTTAAAACAATTCTTGAAAGCTGAGACTGGTAAAATCAAACAAAAGAATGTAATCTGGAGTTTCCCTATGGTATACAAATGGTTCTAAGATGGAAAATAGTGCACATTTGGGCACAAAGGGGCCCTGAGAGATGGCTCTCAGCCACACCGTAACCATCTTTCAACGAACTGCTAGCTGTAGAAACATAAAACATATAATAAACATCTCAATAGTGTAACGATAATAATACTTTCAGATAGCCAGGCAGCTTTAAAGGTGTGCAAAACCTACGTAAATATCCTAAAAAAATGGGATCTACAAATAGCCTAATAATAAATTGTGTCCCAGGTCATGAGAGAATTTCAGAGAATGGCAGCCTAAGTATTCGCAAAAAAAGGGAGCATCAGACCAACACATAGGCCTAAATCCATTATGTGGCATAAACTGTAGCCACATTCCATCCAACTTAAATAATAAGTATAAAATAAAATAGAAACATTTAAAATACATAAAATTTTTTTTAAGATAGCCTTAATTTCAAAAGGTTTGAGCAAAAACAAACAACAAAAGAAAAATAATATCTTATTAAAGAGAACTTCAAATAATAAGTTGAAATCGGCAGCGAATAAATAAAAGTACAAAAAAAAATGAACGAAAACTTCTTTCTTTTTGGTAGTAAACCATTAAATAAATAAATATAATCATAATGCTGGTCTGTAGGTTACTATCTTACAGAGCAATCCAAACTGTTTAGAAAAGTTAATATTACTCTATATTTCTGGCCTGGTTTAACAGTATGCCAATTAACTACAAATCATATGCTATATTCTGATTTAAACCTGGTGTTCTGCTGGCTTTAGCTGTTAAATGCTTTTTGTTATTTCATAATTGCTTTTAACTTTGTTGAGCTAAGTCTAACCACATCCAGAAAACATAAGTTAAATATGCTAGGATAGATCTCTCTTCTTTAGTGTTTCAGATTATCCCTTTCAAAGAGATAGAACAGTCTTATATGGGAAAAAGGTTTTAATTAAATAAAATATCCAGTTTAAGGGGTGGCCATCCTGACGCTTACAATAGGATTTATTGCTCAGCATACAGTCCACATGCACTCATAGATCTTGGTAGTGGTGGATCACTTAAGGTCGTCTTCTGATGAAGACCTCAACAGGGCTTAACCTCTAAACTCGGTGACTAATCTCTCCACTGTACTGAGAACTCTAAATGCAGAACTGCACTGAGCTCAGAATATCAACTACTACTATCTTCACACTCTCTCTATCTGACTAATTCCTAACTCTATCTTCTTACTCTGGCTCTGACTGATGGTTTGAGGCACAGGTTAGTCTTCTACCCTGACTCAGCAAGGCGCAGCCTCGGGTTAACCTAGACCTCGGAGGGCGTAGACCTTGCCGGTGAGCCTTGGATGAAGTGACAGTTTACAAAGTCATGAATAGAGGACGTATACCCCGGGCATCACTAGATGGCCAGTGCAACCATATTAAATTCTTATTCTATTACATTTAAAAAAATTCTCTGGTGAATTGATACTTTTAACATTGTTCAAATTTAACTGTAAACAAAGGTTTTAATGTTTGTGTACATCAATGGAACAAAACACTACAAACTTTATCTTTAAAAAAATTGTAATTGAAAAAAATTACATAATAAAAAAATTACATGAATAGAGGACTGGGCAACACTAGATGGCTAGGCCTCAAGTGCAGTGCAACCATATTAAATTCTTATTCTATTAAATTTAAAAAAATTACTCCGGTGAATTGATACTTTTAAGTGTTCACAATTTAACTGTAAACAAAGGTTTTAATGTTTGTGTACATCAATGGAACAAAATACTACCTTTATCTTAAAAAAATTGTAATTGAAAAAAATTACATAATAAAAAAATTACATGAATAGAGGACATACCATGGGCAACACTAGATGGCTAGGCCTCAAGTGCAGTGCAACCATATTAAATTCTTATTCTATTAAATTAAAAAAATTACTCTGATAAATTGATACTTTTAACAATGTTCACAATTTAACTGTTTACAGAGGTTTTAATTTTTGTGCAGATCAATGAAACAAAACACTACAAACTTTATCTTTAAAAAAATTGTAATTGAAAAAAATTACATAATTAAAAATTAAAATAAAATTTATTACAGATCAACAAAAAATTCCAATTAAGAATCATCCATTTCTTCATCATCCAACAAAAGTTCATTGATTTTGAAGTATCCATCGCAAACACTGCAATGTTGTTCTCTTTCCACTGGAAACAAAATAAAAAAATATTAAACTTTTTTGGGGGGAAATGTTTAATATTTAATAATAAAATATTATTTTATTTCTATACCTGTGTTTTTATGTGCTATGAGATTACATATTTTACAGACATAATGTTTTATATCAGCGCATTGGACAAAACTTATTGAACATCTTGGTACAGAGTGTCCTTTAGAGCATATGGCACTAAGCTTTTCACTATTGATAATGCTTATGTTCTATTAAGGAATAACAATTATCACATATAAAAAGTTTATGATAATATTGTTTGAAAAAAAGGATATTGCTTCCGCATATTTGGCAGGCTTCTTTTATTTGGGGTATATTGCTATCTTCTATCATTTTCTGTAGATAGTTTAACGATGCTTTTGTGTGTACAAATTGCTCATCCAATGGTAAATTCTCACTTGACAACCATTCTCGAATTCTGTTTAGGCTACTGACTTCAAATTCGCCGAAACAATATGACTCAAGCAGTTTCATGGTCCAATTGCTTGCGCTTCGAATTTGGATAAGTAATACTAATAAATCCTTATGCTCAGCCTGCAAATCACAGAAAAATTCAATTAAGATTATCTTACGAGCAAAAAAAAAGCGTACAAACTGCGTACAATATCTGTTTTCGATGTAAAAGATGAATCGTTTAATATCGCATAGACACACCATAATTTTTTCTGCAGCTCTTCTATATCCATTGTGTCATAACTGATCGCTTCATTTACTTGCAATAGTTCGAGTTTCTTCTGATGTAAAACCCTGAAGAATAGCTTTGTGCAAATGATATTCGGCAGTTAAAAAACAAACTAGGAAAATACCTCGCTACTTCCAAAATGTCCCACATTTCTCTCGTCGGTTGTTTACTCTTTGTCTCGATCAAAAATTTGATCTCTGTCAATTCAGGCAATGCACACCAAAATGTATTGGCGACTTCTCGAATTTGCAAGTGGTCAAACGCAGCCTTCACGCTAAAATATCACTCAACCATTAATGCAAACAAAAAGGAAAAAAATAATTATTTACTGTTAATTACACTTAGAGTAATTAAAATAATTAAGGAGAGTTAAAAATATAACAATTCCACACAGATCATAAAAAAAACATCCACACACAAGAAGTATAACTTTTCAGGGGGTAAAATTAAATAAACTTGTTTACAAAATAGATTAGAGTTTAACATACCTGAATGGTAAATAGCCGATAACTTTATTTTTTGACAAAGCAATTCCAAAACAAGCATAAAGATCATTTTTAAGTGGACATTCAATAAAATCGCAACTCTTTGTAAATGAATCATTTTCATAATAGAACGTCAACAATGTAATGGTTGCTCCTCTTGTAGTGATCAACAGCTCATTATTAGATAAAATGCTAAGTCCTGAAAATAAGAATTAGTCTTTAAAAACACTTTTTGTACAAATTATTTTTTATTTACCTGTAATGGCTACATCTTCAGTAGTAGTAATGTCAACAGTGGAAGAAGAACCATCCGAATCCAGTGTGAAAATTAGAAGATGAGAACCCTTAGCGACAATTAAAAAATTTGTATCGTTATCCTTTGTCGTTAACATTCCACCTGCATTTATTTGTATTTTGTCTTCATCATTCCAAATGAAAAAATTACAACCGAAAGTTACATCTTCATCGGTAATGTTATTTAGAGTTTCTAGATCCGAAGACAAGACTTTCTGGCTCAGCTCGACGTCTATTCCTTGAATTCGCCCGTCTATAGAAGCGTAATAGACAAAATCTGAAACGACGATTGACATAAGACAAAAAGTAAAAAAGATTATAAATAAGTATTTACTTACATTTACTTTCGTTTACTCTTACACAAGTCAACGAAGATATATCTACAGCATTGGTTTGATAAGATTTTAAAAATTGAGTACTGATTTGTCTCGAATTTGTCATTCCAACTTCCCATACAACGAGCGTGCCGTCTTTAGTCGAGAAGAAAAACAACATTTTGGTTTTGCAGTAAATCCCTCCCCAACAGAATGCCGTTATTTTTATTTTGTAAGTTCTTTCTTTTAAAGTGCTCATGGCTTCTTGAGACGTTTTAAACACAGAAATATTATTCCATGTTTCCTTACAAAACGCCACCCAATCTGTTGAAATGGACTTGATATTTACCCAGTCATCACGGAATTTTATGTAAAAATCCAATGCACCACTGTCAGTAAGAACAGTTAGCAGTGATCTAGAAATTTTTTTTTTATATATTACATATTTTTTTTATATATTCTAATTCTATTACCTAAACTCAGAAGGATCCGGTACAGGAGACCAAGATATATATTTGACAGTTGGCTTGAATGCCTCCGCTTTGATATGTGGGCTAAGTGTAATATCTTGTACAAGAGTATATAATTCATTTTCTCCGAGTACTTTCGCCAGTTTCAAGATGTCTATATCACTGTTCATTGTCGGATTATCTTGTTTCGGTAAAATTACACTTCGCGTCATATCAAGAGCTGGCGACCTGTTCATAGGATTGGGTTTGAATTCCTTAAACAAACAAAAAACTTAACAATTAAATATAATCATTTTTGCTTACATAAAAATTGACAGAAAATAACAAGCCATTTATCAGTTTATAAAATAAATAATAAATGTGAAGGATCTGTTTTTCAGTTTTTGTAAAGAAATTCCTGTCAAGCGGGAGGGCTTAATATTCAACTTCCGTTCGATGTTGTGTAAAGGGTCAAACCACTTTACAATACTTTTTTCAAATTATTCTGAATTAAAACTCCATTCGCCAGGTTGGGGTTTGAACCTAGAACTGTTTGCATTGAAAATACAAATTTCAGACACCTCAGCCCCGAAAGTGTTTGTTCATTAAGTAAATCAAAAGTTCTGTGACTGAGTTGTATTTAAGGGGTACCGCAGTAGCTGAGTGGTTAGCGTGGGCTTTTTCAAAATACCGGCACCCTGAGAGTTGATATGACCTCTGCTGTTGCAAAAAAGAAGAAGAGATCTAGACAACAATGCACAATTCTGGTCACAGTGGGCAAGTCATAAAGAGACTAATTTTCTAATTCCATGAATCTCTTATTTCTTAATTTAAAAAATCTTTAATAAACCATTATGTAAATGTTCTACATTTCATTTAAATAATGAAAGACAAATTTTGGCCAAAGGGACAAGTACACAAGGGGTGACAGTAAAATACATTCAGTCAAAACTACTTCCTTTTAAATGCAACGTGCCTTTTTATACACCACAAAATGTTAGATAATTCAAGGGTCTAAATTTTAAAATCGCAATCCTGAAAAGTTGTGTTCGATAAACCGTAAAATTGAATTTAATGGTGATAATTATGACATTAAACAATTTGAGGTATTTTGGTAGCTGCTGATCATTTTATTTTCCAAAGGTGTTGGTCTGTCACGACGTAAATTGGATTTTGCCATATTTCAAAAAAATTTGAATTTAAAAATTAGTGATTAACCCAAAAAACAGTGACAAAAAGTTAATATTGTTAATAGAGAAATGATTGAAACGAAGAAATTCAATTTTTTCTCATTTTCATTTCAAAAATAAATTCTTTTTGTGTTTTTAAAATATTCTATCACTTTTCTATTTAAACAAATAATATTATAAAAATAGATAGTTTTTATATTAAAATTATTATTTAAAATGGGTAAATTGAAGTAAAAAATATGAGTATCAACATAAGTTTTCTTTGTACTTAATTACAATTAATTAAGGCTTTTAGTTGAGATAAAAAAGTCAATGGCACAAGTGGGATTCGAACCCAAGATCTTCGGCTTGATACGCCGCTGCTCTACCACTTGAGCTATCGTGACCCAATCCACTCGGACACCAACTTCCTATCTCAACCCCACCTTTTGAGTTTTCCCTCCGTGGAAATTTGTACTTAATATTATTTAGAAATGTGTGGTGATTAGTGACTGTTAATCAATGATTATTCAGAGATCGTGAGATCACACCGGACTGCATCTCACGATCTCTGAATACTCATTATTTAGAAATAATTGCATTGCTTATTAAACAGCTAAGGGCAGTCAGGATCCTCAGAGTGTGCCGAGCATAAATGGGGCAATGAGAACATCACCCATTTGTGCCCTGGAAGTCCTTCTGAATCTACCACCTATCTAGAAGAGGCTAGTGCCACAATTCTCATGCAGGCTCCAATAGCCTCTCATATAACAAAGAGTAATTAAAATTTGGGAGGAGCTTCAGGCAAACAGAGTTCTGGCGATGCGTGTTGAACCCATGACTTATAATTCAGATTTGATAAAAAAATTCAAATTGAAATACCTGCTAGGGCATACTGTGAAAAAGGTAGCCCAGTTAATGCTGATTCTGGTATAGAGATGGCTCCAAAACCAAATCTGGGTCAGGCCCTGAACCCTTTTGTCGCTTAGCAAAGTGCCAAAAACGCGGATCCATTAGGCAATTAAAAATAAGCCCTCTGTTCAATGGGAAAGTAGCCCGGAAAAGAGGCATGCAAAAAAAGTTTATCAAAGGACCATCGCAGAAACTAACTGTAGAACTACTAAATCTAGGACGTGCTAGGACTAGAATAATAGTTGGACTGCTGACTGGACACTGCAGACTACAGAGGCAGACTCAGAGTGGCAGAAACAAGCCTGTGCAAATATTGCCGAGAAGAAGAAGAAATAGCAGAACATGTCCTCTGTTGTTGCAATGGCCTATGTAGGCTGATATTCCTAATCCTGGGAGAGGAAAAGCCAGGGCCTTGAAGGAGACAGGCGGGAGCCCTTGAAAGAGCTTTGGGGGTCTGTTAAAAAGCATTAAGCTTAATGAAGAGCTCTAGATAAAAAAAGATTGGAGATGCTCAAGATCAATACAGGTTGCGGTGTACAGGTCATAAAGAGGCCGGCTATTACATAATCTAATGGGTCAGGAGCTGGTATTTATGGAAATAAACCAAGGTCTAAAATTCATATAAGTTTTGGGCAATACGCCTTTCAAGTAGAGACTGTGCCCAAAGGATAGCCATTGTTAACAGAAGAATTGGCTGACCTTAAAATGGTTATGGCCAAAAGCTTGGCAATAACAACTGAATTTGCTCTTTTTCTTCGAAACCATACCTTCATCCAGTGTTCACAACAGAAGAATTGCTATCTTCTTAAAAGTGATAAAGTCCAGAGTCATTTGGGATTCAATAGAGCCCTGTCCGACATGGAAAATAATAAAATTACCCATGTCTGGGTAGCAGGACGGAGGGACAACAAAGGCCCTGAACCTTTTTGCCATACCAAACTGCCAAAAACCTGATCCATCAGACAACAGATTAAAAATAAGTTCTCTGTTTAATGGGCATGTAGTCAGGATAGAGGCATGCAAAAAAGTTCATCAAAGGAACTAACGGCAGAACTAAATCTTGGAAGTGTTAGGACTAGAATAATAAATAGTTGGACTGCTGATTGGACATTGTACACTCCAGAGGTACAAGCCTGTGGATACATTGCCAGGAAGAAAAAGAAATAGCAGAGTGAAGGCTCTTGGTGTGAAGGCAATAAAACTGAATTTGCTTTGTAGAGAGGCAAAAAGAGAGACAAAAAGTCCAGAAAGGATACCAACAGGAGTCCTTGAAAAACTTTGGGATCTGGTTAACAGTATTGAGCTTAATGAAGAGATCTAGGGGTGTCGGTGGCCGCAACGGTTTAGGTGTTGACATGGCGCTCTCATCACTGTAAAATCCAGTGGCTCTGCATTCGAACCCAACATTCTTACAAATGTTTTTTTTTTTTTTTTTTTTTTTTTAACACCGGCAGCTTTAGGGTTGATATGACCTCTGCAAACCCTCGTAAAAAAAGAAGAAGGAAAAAAAGACGAGATCTAGACAACAATGCACAATTCTGGTCATAGCGGGCAAGTCATAAAGAGACTAATTTTGAATCGCTTATTCAATTTAGAGAGACTAATTTAAAAATCTTTAATAAGCCATTATGTAAATGTTCCATATTTCTTTTAAATAATGAAAATCGAATTTTGGCCAAAGAGATAAGCGCACATTTCAGAAAGTCTTTAGGGGTGACACTATAAAATACAATCAGTCAAAACTACTTCCTTTTAAATGCAATGTTAGATAATTTTACTTGTACCAAGGGTCTAAATTTTAAAATCGCAATCCTGAAAAGTAGTGTTTGATAAACTGTAAAATTGAATTTAATGGTAATAATTATGGCATCAAACAATTCGATCATTTTATTTTGCAAGTGGGCTGGTCTGTCACGATGCGAATCGGATTTTGCCATCTTCAGTGTTCAGTCTGTCCCAGAATGTTTGTACAATAAATGAATTTTATGCATTGAGAATCACTGACTCCAGCGTTGCTGGTTGGCTTAGACATGCTGACCAGGGAAACAAATCATAACTTAAAAATAAAACAGACCAATCCAGCAAGGATAGGCAGACCAAAATGATTGAAAATGAGTAAATCATAGGTTCATCATATCATACACTATTCAGAGAAACCACATTTGAAGGTACAGCATAATTTTGCAAAATAAATAACAGTTGCTCTTTCTAAGGAGAATTTCTTTACAAAAAACAGAAAAAAAAAAAACTTTTTAGGGACACATTTTAAGATGCAAAAGTGTGTTCCTCTGCCTATATTGCCTATATTCTTATGAGGTGCACCAATTCCATTCAAAATTTGATTGTTATTCCTCAGAAATTAGTTTTCAACTGAAGTGAGTAAATGGAAGATGAAAAACACAAAGTAGTATTTAATTGAAAATTTATTTTTCACAAAAAGTGTTCATTACATATATCAAGTCATCATAACCTAAAAACAACATATATGTACATACATACGAGTACAGAGTTGAAAAAATAATATGCATAAATAAGGACAACAAAAACAAAAATACATTCTGAAAATTACTGAATACTTGAATGATGTAAATCTAAAACTGAGAGCACTAGGCAGGCAAGAGGCAAAAAATCAGAAAGACAATAAGGTAGATGATAGGGAAGAGTAGAGGGTTGGGAAGATCAGGGGCGAGAGGTAGACAAAAGTAGGACATTCCCAATGAGGTGTAAATATTGTGGCCATATTTGCAGAAAAATGATTGTGTCGAAATTTTGCAGAAATTTGCAAGGGAGGCCAGATTGTGAACAGAAGGGGAGAAAAGAGTAGTTTGCTGATGATGAGGACGGAAAAGGAAGGGAGTTGTCAACCATGTACTAAAGCGGTGTCATCGGATATAACCTCAGCCCAATAGATGCCACGAGTGTCCCGGTTAAAGCTCTTAAAATAAAATAAAATAAAAACACGAGAACAGCTAACTTTTCACAAGGCCTGGAGAGCGTATAACCCTGAACGAAACAACTCATAGGGCCTGGGGAGCCTCTAAGCACCAGCAAGATAACTCGTTATGAGTCCCAAAAAGGTCAATTTAAAAGAATTAGTGAATGAATAAAGAAAATAACACTATTTGGTAGGAAAAATATTTTTTATTAAATAAATTATCGTTCACATCATTACATTTTTACTATTAGGAGTGATCACAGAATAAAAATCTTAAAAGAAAATCCAAAATAATATTACAGCCTTTAAGCACCTCCAGCTTCAAATCAACAATAATTAAATATTTACAGAAAACAATTTTAATTGAACATAATTACATGCCATCAAAAGGAAATCTATTGCCTTCTTGAAGTCTTTCATAATGATCTTCCCTCCTTTCTTTCCAGTATAGTAATCCAATGATAACCGATATGAAGAAACATATGCCAAGCAGTGCGACAAAACTCTTCAAAATGAGTTTCGAAGGTGTGATAAAAAGCCTTGCGGTCCACTTGTTCGGGTTTTTCAGCGGGATCGGTATAACGACCATCTGTGAATTTGGTATCAACTGTTTCCAAGTTCTGTTGTACCCCGAAACACCGACTGTTAAGGAATCGATAAAATTCGCAGTCCTCCCAAGACCGAACAAGGTGTAAGGTAGGTGCAGACTAAAATAGGCGGATTGAGGAAGCTGTCCCGCCATCGCTGCTTTAGGTTGGTCGTCTAAAGTGGTCGAATTGTAGAATACCAAAGGGCCTGGTAAGTTTGTTCCAAAAGTTCTGTTTTTACGTCCTAGAGGGCCGTTGAGCGCTTGAACCTTTTTATCGCGGATCCCTGTTAGTACCATCACTTTCAGAAAATTTGCATCGTAATCTAAACTGTTTTTAAAAGCAGAAACTTTTGTTGTTTTACTAGTTTCATGGACTAGTATAATGTCAAGAATACCATCTTGCAAGAAGTCATAGAATACAGCGGAAACAGTCCCGTTATTCATGCTGTTCAGGGTTGACCAATTGACTTCAAAAGTCCTGCTGACTTGTTTGTTTATTTTATTTTCAACATTTATCAGGATACAACTTCTGGTTTGTCCATTACTCTGCAGTGTAGCGAGTAAATCAGGATAACCGTCCATATTAAAATCTCCACCTCGTAAAGTAATTGCCTTTGAGTACATGCTGTTATTTGGAGGTACAAATCCCCAAACAACGTTTCCCTTGTCTTTAAAATTGACTTGCAAATCATGCCAATCGCCCATAGAATAAACCCAAATGGAGCTTGTCATACAACCCTTGTCTGCACAGATGGGTAGCAGGTGGTCAATTTTTCCTTTAAGTTCAACATCAAGTAGTAAAGTCTGACCTATCACATCGCCCTTTGGAAATGCACGTATGGTAGGCTCTTCTTCGAATCCATCTTCTTTTTCTCTATTTTTATGCCAAATTTCAAAATTCTGCTTTGTCGTCACATACAAATCAGCAGCCAAATCGTTATTAAGATCAATAAATGAATGCGAATGAGGAATCCTTAATTTTTGAAGCTTTTTCTTACTTTCCATTGTTATACTTTCAGGAAGACTGTATCTCTGCTCAACCCCTTTTTTGAAGATCCAAAATGTTCTGTTGCCACTTTCAGAGCTTCCAAAAAGGTCTATGATTGTATCTTCATTGTAATCAAGGGCCAAAGGCTGGCCGCACATCTTTGCATACTCAAAACTGTAATCTTTGGTGCAGTTTATTGTCTGGCCCCATAGAATACGAATTGAATTCAAATCGTGACCCTCAAAACATTCACCGATCCGTACTGTCACTAATACATCCATGAGTGCGTCCCCGTCAAAATCCCCGGGGACGATGCTAGTCACAGGATGTTTAAATTCACACTTTTCCCCGAATCGAAAATAAGGTTCCATTTCACCACCATAAAGCACTTCTACTGTGTTTTTCTCTTTTATCACAAACAAGTCTGGATATTCGTCGGAATTGATGTCGCCGAACGCTGCCGGCTGAATATTTCTCTCTTTACCAAACGCCAATTGGGTAATATCAATGTTGACATCTCCTGCATAAGCTTTCGATATCACCAATGTCAGGAATAAAATCAAATAGACAGCAAAAGAGTGAAATCTTCGTTTAGATTTACATCCACCCTGCCAACATAAGCAGATAATTAGAACATGTTAAGATAAACAGAACAATAAACTCTTATCACAATTTTTATATTTTTAATTAAAAATTTTCTTGTCAAAAATTGAAATTTTGTAATGTAGATTCTACAATGTGACTATATTAATGTTAAATTACGCAGTACACTTTGAACTAAAAAGCAAGAGTAACCAAGCGGTTTATATTATTTTTTAAATATTGTTTTCTCTACTAATCAGTGATTAATTGTGACCCAGCAAGAAAATTATTTTTAAACAATTAACTTATTTATTTTAAAAATATACGCATATAGATTACAAATGTTCAGACTGATTTATTGAGCTTATTTTGTAGCGATTTATTGAGCTTATTTTGTAACTTGTTAATTTTGATGGCAGTAATATGCAGATTAATATAGAGCAATTAAGGCCAGCCATACAAGTTGTGGTTTGCCTGGACAATAAACTTCCAACGATCAAAGTGCATTTGCAAAGGTAATGAGTTATGCGGTATGGTAAATCTATGTTTTTGCTTCATTGGTCATGGCTTCCTCAAGAGATGACGAAGCAATTGCAGTGGTCAGTTTATTTTTTGTTATTAATTTAAGAAAACTGTAAAAAATGGTGTAGATCCTTAATTGCGCACATTCCAGTGTAGAACTGTGCAGGTAGAAAGAATCAAATTCTTATCCTGTCTAGGTTGCTTAAACAGGTCGCAACACCTGCACAGTTTCACGGGAAGTAGTTGGCAATCACGTTTCAGTTTATCGGTACAAGTAAATTGTATAGGTAAACCTCTCTGGTATGGTCGACCTTTAGACACCCAAATAAGGCAAAATGATAATTATTTAGGGTTCCTGGTTATTTACAAAACTGTCCAAAACGACCAAATACTGTACTGGCACTTCTTTAAGCCCATATCAGGATGTGCACTTTGGATTCAAGCTCTTTCCTAGGTACTACATCACTAAAATGGCTACCATAACTGGGCAAGGTCTTCAACGCCATGTTGGATTATTGGACATTCTGCCCACTTTGTTTTGGCAGATTAGGACATCTTGTTTACTTGTTTAAATGTGATATTTCAATAGGCAATTGTTAGTAGGGGGCGATGGTAGCCGCAATGGTTAAGGTATTAGACTTGGTGCTTATCACTGTAAGGTAAAGGTCCCAGATTCGAATCCAGCTGTCCTACATTCAAATTTGACATATTTAAAAATGGGTTGTTTTTTTTTTCAAAAAACAACAACACCCCGAGGGTTGATATAATCTCTGCAGTTGTAAACCCTCATTATAGTCTGATTGGTAGCACTCTTAGTCAACCCTGACTCCTTCAGAGACCTTGCATCTGCATTAAAACCGCTATTACTACAGCATTTCCAGGATGTTATATATATTTTAAAGAATGAAGGGGTGTCGGTGGCCGCAACGGTTTAGGCGTTGACATGGCACTCATCAATGTAAGGTAGAGGTCCTACGTTCGAATCCAGCAGCCTTGCATTCGAATCTGACATATAACCTCATAGTTGAAATACCCTCGGGAAAGAGAGAAAAGAAAACTCTTTGACTGAGAGTATATTGGTTTACATTTGTTCCCTTTTCGAGATATTTCTTTGCACATTTTAATCATATGTATCACATGTATGTAAATTAGAAGCTTATTGATTTTTAAGCAGTTCAGCTCAACAGCTAAACTATGTTTTTAATTGGTCGTAATTACCCAAAGTGATTATTTAAATTAATTTATAATTTTTTAATATTTGCCAAAACATTGAGAGGTCGTGGGTTCCTGATCATCACATTAATTTTTACATAATAATTATAAATCAATTATAAGCTAATTATTTTGTCATGGGAGGTCAATTAAATGGCCAATCATGATGTATGTTCGCTAGCATGCTAATCAATAAACCGTATATGTTTAGCGGCCATAGTTGACCTATTTAATTATTTAAATTTATTATACTTTTTAACTAAAGAGTTGGTTGAGATGAAAAAGTTAGTGTCAACGAACAGAATGCGAACCCACGACCTTCGGCTCAATATGCCACTGCTCTAACCATTTGAGCTATCTTTACTTCAAGAGTGAGTGATCGTGAAGTCATGATATCTCAAGTTAGAGCAACAGCATATTGAGCCGAAGGTCGTGGGTTCGAATCCCGCTCGTGGCACTAACTTTTTCCTCTCGATCAAGACTTTAGATCAAAAGTATAATTAATTAATCAATAAAATTTCTTTTTGTAAAAAAAAAATTGCTTGGTGAAGATAGCGCATGAGTAGTTCATCAATGTCGGTTCAGCTTTAGTTCACCGACTCGCAGACCAACACTCAGCATCAACACTAACAATAAAATAGTTTCCCTCAAAATTTTTATTGTTTTATTGTTAAATTTAACTTGCTCTATTAGTCTGCATATGGTAACAAGGTGGAGAAGACTTCAAAGGTATAAAAAGTGAGAAAAATTAGATGAAAAGTACTCACCGTTATATAAACTGCCATTTCTGTCGCTGTGGCAACAAAACCGTCTTCCGACCAAGCAGAAGAGAAAGGCACGTGGATGTGCGAACTGCATTTGGTCACTTGGAAATCCTGGATTTTCATCTCTGAAATAAGTTTAGACGTGAAGGGCTTCAAACAATTCAAAAGATAATAAGGAAACACAGATAATGACGTTCACCTCCAAAGTTATCTCTCCCCTAGTCGGATGTGTCATAAGTGATTATTTTTTTTAATCGGAAGACCGCTTGAGGAATATTTTGACAAATGTACCTTTTCCTTTTGGATTGATGACTATTTCGTTAGATAAACAACAATAAGTGCTACCTTGTACCTATAACTTAGCAAGGTTGGATGCGTTGGTTGCGTTCTTGCGTAGTAGATTGAACAGCAGCGCTGTCAAGGAGGAGTCAATGAGTCACTCTGCCTTCAAATCTCGTGACGATTTATTAGGGCATGTAAACAAAATTTAACCCTATTCTTTAATTATATTCAACACACGACTAAAAACACAAAAAAGAACAATAAACAGCTACAGAGGAAATATTTAAAGGAATTATAATAATCTAAAATGTTTGATTCTACAACACTAATATTTTCAAGACTTGCATAACAAGGTGAAATTAAAAAAAGAAAAGAGATGTCCTTCTGCACCTTGACCTGAGTAGATCTATTAAGCTCTTATATTTTTATAACTCACTGGCATGCTTTATGTTAATCAACCTCCATAGCTTGCCAGTAGTCCTCCGTGCAAGATCTTGTGGCTTTTCCTCTCCTAGTCACAAGAACGTGCATCTACAAAGACCTTCACAAAGCATAAAATGTATTCCTCTTCCTGGCAATATCTGCAGTGTTTCTTCTGTCTGTACTCTTATACAATACATGGCTTTTTAGGCAGCAGTGCCTTATCAAGGATTCCAATCAGAATTGTCAAATTGTAAGTTTTGCGGATAGCCCTTCTATGAATTTCTTCGTGTGTCTCATACCTGGGGTATTATTCCACTAAACTTTGGATTCATTAAGGATCCATTTTAAGATGGATTTTGTGGCAAGATGCTAGGCCACAGTATGGTTCGGGACGTAGAGAATCCATGTTGGCTTCCTCTTTGGCCAATGTGTCAATTTTTTCATTGCCTCTATGCCCCAAATGCCCAGGGTTAGGTCATTGGTGTCGCTGACTTCCTCCAGGGCCTATATGCAGTTCCAAACATTCTTTGCCTTGACTTCACATGGAGCTAGTGCTTTAGTGCTACCTGACTAGGAATGTATTTCTAGGTTTTTTGTCACAGGCACAGTGTTCAATCACTATGATTTCAGACTGGAAAACTGTATTATATTTACCTAGGTTTACTGTCAGTTCGTTCTTTGGATTCATTCCGAAGAGCTCCTGCCCTTGTCGAGTTTTGAGCCATCAGTATACCAGGAGTTTGCCTTTAGCGGTATTCCTCTGCCCCATTCTTCCTGTTCTGGTATCAGTACCTTGTACTTTTTAGTAAAATTGTACTTCAGAGTAGTGGCTTCAATTGGCATGCCTAAATGGCATCTGCTTGTATCTCCTCCCTCAGTTTCCAATGTTTATTTACATGGCCTATCCTTGCAGATGGTGGTCCATTAATGAGCCTGTGGCTGTTGCTTTGGCTTCTCCTTGGACTAAAATATGAAGTGGTAGGAAGGTTTAACGGCACCTCCAAGGCCACAGTCAGATGCAATGTGACAAGCTTGTCTCTGGGTGCCACTGAATAGCCTAATTACTCTGGCCTGCAGGGTCTTGGTTACCACCCACTGACCCATATGTCAGCATTAGTCTTAACATGAATGTGTATAGCTTAGGGTCATTTTGAGATTTAAGCCTCAGTTTTTAGTGCAGAGCCTTCTGCACCTTTCCCAGGCAATTTTGACTCTCTAGGTGGTTTTAATTGTGTTGATTTGCATGAAGAGAACACAACTTTTTTTTATTTAGAAATAATAGTAAGTACTAGCCTCTACTAGGTTGGATCTCATATTTCCTGGAGGGCTGCTCCTTCTCCATATCTTATAAAGATGCTCTATGATCTGGCTTTGGTAGACTCAGGGTCCCCATTCAGCCCCTCAAACTATTTTTATTATTCAGACATTCACTCTGAAGGGTTGTCACTCTCCGGTGTGCTGACCGTAGGGTTTATAACTCAGGGGGATTCACCTACCCCATTATGTGGCAGTCGCTAGTACCCGGCCAGAGGCCCAGAAGATCGTCGCTTCCCAACCAACAGGTTTAGGCTCTGGCAGAGGCTGATGACAGCTAGGTCATTTCAGCCCCCAACACATGCAAATTATAATCTAGCGTAATACTAACTATAGTTGATAAGGCAGTCACACAAATAAATACATTCATACATTGAACTCATTCTTATTAGTCTGTGGAGTACTCGATATTCCTTCATCGACCTACACACAATATCATAATCAAAGTTAGGGTTGGTGGGTGGTTTTATAAATCATCAACCCTAGACACAGTTCTTGCTGGAGGGGATTTTTATTATTCTTTAATGAAGACTGTGATGCTTTCTTTCACTGCCAGGTCTCCAGTCGGGATTCGAACCCAGAACCACTCACATGACAAATATGTCAACTAATTATGTTAATACAGCCTAACTTTCTCTTTAAATAAATGAATAAAAGTAGCTACCTTACAAAAGTAAAGGGAATTTATAATTTTTTAAATATATCTTGCTTTCTTTAAAATAAAAGTATCTGGTTAATATGAAACTGTATAATAAATAATATCCATAATAGCCAATAAAATATCCAATTAATTGGTACATAAACAAAAAAATAACATAAGTATATATAAAACAGGGTCTTCTTTCATATTTGTTGTAAATTATGCGCTAAATATAAACCTGATTTAATTTAAATAATTTAGTAATAAAGTTGATTCACATTTATATTCTCAGCAAAACAGAACAACATAAACCATATAAATACATTTTATTGTATAACAACAAAATGAAGTTTACTACATTATTCTAAATCTTTTATTTAACTTTAGATGTACTAAAGTTAATAAACATAGAATAAATTAAAATTATTTTATATTACATATTTACAAATTTTAATTAAGTTTTCTATAATTGTTTCCCCATTTATAATTAATATGTATTTGTCTTTATCAAAGTTTGACTGTTGGAAGACTTGGTTTACCATATCTTTTTTCAGCTTCTTTAACAAACGCCCATTCCATCTGCTTGACTAGCTCATCAAAAAAAACATTTGCGAGTTGAGAATGGAGCATAGATTTAAATTCAAAAGAGAGATAAAAGTGTATATGGCAAGACTGCGGGCCCTCCTTCAAACCCGGGATGAACTTCCATGTTGTTGTGAGGTGGTTAAATATCTTCCCATCTTTGCACACTGCTCTAACGCTGTGCGGACGATTGAGGGAAACGGTCGAAGAGTAACTTTCTACAATGGGCGGGAAGCCGACTTGCAGGTCTCCGCTAAGCAAGTGTTTTGTTTTGTGGGTGACGGTCGACTTTATACAAAACGGAACAAATTTTTTGTAATTTTCAACGTCAGAGACGACATCAAACATTTGCTCTGGGGTAAACCTGTCAAACATGAATTATGAAAGACAATATTAATGATTTTTCGGATTTTATTTTTTAATTAATAACTTACCCGACGATTTTCTTCCCGATGTACTCTTTCTTCTTATTTGCGATCCCAGGTAGGGTAAAGAAATTATTGAAATGTCCAAAAGCGGGAGGTGTTAACTTTCCTTCTTTGCAAAGTATTTTTGTATTGTCATATGAGCACAATCTGAAACAGAATTTTATATTTAATTGTAAACTTGCATACAAATCGAGGCGCAATGGTTATACTGTAACTTAACAACCCAGATGCTGTGCGGGCTTAGCATCTTTCAAGAGAAAAATATAATTACTATTTTTTTAAGAGGATTAAGAAATAATTCAATAAATTCAACCAAAAATAGAAAAGAAAGTAATGAAAATAGAACTTTCTTATAAAACAAAATCAATTACAACAACAGCAATCATTAACACAAACATTAAAAAATTGAGTTTTGAGTCGAAGTTTTGTCATTGGAATTTTCTGACCTCTCATAATTTCAATTTACTTACAACATATTGATGATGATGTTCAAACTTAATGATAAAATTGCTCATATAATAAATCTCTTTTTAACCTACATTAGAAAGATACTGTGTTGGGTGGGTTCTGAATATTTGAATTTTTGGCCTGTGCACTGTATTTCTGGATCTGTCAGTGTAATAAAATATTTCAGTTCACTTTTCTCCCATTATCACTCTTTTTTACAAAGATGGGGCTGAAAATTTTGTTTAAATTCAAATCTTGCTCATCTTGAAGCCATGAATAGAAATGTTTCTTATCAGGATGTTTCTTTTCTTCCTTCTAAATTCTTTTCTTCTAAGCTTTTGCTTATTGTGTAAAAATAAAAAAATAAAAAACAAATAAAAATGTGTGGTGATTAGTGACCGTTAATCGATATTTATTTAGAAATCGTGAGATGCGGTCTGGTGTGATGTAGGTTTCAGAAAAACGTTTTCTTTATCGTGCCAACATTTCGGTCTTTATTGAGATCATCTTCAGGGCCTGGGATTTACAAACATTGTTTACACTTTTCCACATCCAAAATGTAACTGTTATATGTAAACAATGTTTGTAAATCCCAGGCCCTGAAGATGATCTCAATAAAGATCGAAACGTTGGCACGATAAAGAAAACGTTTTTCTGAAACCTACATCACACCAGACCGCATCTCACGATTTCTAAATAAACAAATAAAACGTTTAAAAAAAACTTTTTGCCCCCTTTAATACCAAGTATTTCCACCTCTGGCATAAATCATATTAATTAAACACCTTTTTATTCCTAGGAAAAGATTTCTGATAAAATACTGAGGAATTCTTTCCCATTCGTCAAGAACCGCTGTTTCCAACCCTTCTAGGGTGTTAGGACCTGGGTTTAACTGTCATCCTTGTCGCTTAAGTTCGCCTCAAATGTGTTCAATTGGACTTTGAATCAATCTGGACTTTGAGCTGGCCACACCAAGCACTCAATTCTAGCCTCATTCAGGTAATCATCCACAATACCAATAGCTTTATGAGGAATTATCCTAATTATAATTATCCTCACCGATGTGGGGAGCAAATAGCACTACCGTGAAGTTAGGGATCTTCCTCGCACGACCAATTTGGTGCTAAACAAAATGCTACCCCAGAGCATCAATCCACCCACTGTGGAATGCCACCTGAGGAATAATACAGCATGGAGCGTACCTTTCTCCTGAATGTCTCCATATGAATCTAAGCCCATTTAAAGATTTGAGGCCAACTTTCATCTCATCAAGAGAACCCAATCTTCCAATACCCAATTTACACGTTCCCAGGCGAATTGAAGCCTGGACATTTTCTGAGCTGTGGCAAGAAGAGGTCTACAAGCCGCGTGCTGGGCCCTGAGGTTATTTTCACTGAGCCTTCTTACAGTCCTGGAGGAATTCAAAACATTTCGGACTTGTCTCATCGTATTTCCCATAATGCTGAAGTTTCGTAGAGCCTGATGACGGATGAATCCTCGTCTCTCTCATGGACCTGTCTTGGCCTTCTAGTGTGAAGTCCTGTTTCTTTAAAGCACCGAAGAACCCTTTTTATTGTAGTGATTTACACTCAGTCTCCTGGAAACTTTGCACTGGCTATATTCTTCCTCTAAAAATATTATGTCACTGTCATACTCAAATGCCTGACTGGAGTTTTTTAAAAAGGTTTAAGAATAAGAATAATATCAAATAAAATCAATGAAGGGAAAAGATTAAGTGAAAGCAATGTTTAAACGTTGCAGAATGAAAGGGCAAATGCTACTTTTTGTGCAAATGGAATTTATCAGTATAAAGGTAAACAAAGCATTATTTACTGTATACTTTGACCATAATATCTCCTAATTACCTGTAACTAATGTAGAAAGATATGTATTTAATTTTAAACTTAATAAATTGAATAGAACCTTGAATTTGTCCATCAGTGTAATTTTTTGACTGCCTAGTCGCCTATGTACCGTTTGAGGTGTAAGGTGGCTGGAGGCTCCTGGAGGAGGTTTGAGGTATAAAGAGGATGGAAAGAAATAAGTCAAGAACAAGTAAAGTTGAAACTAAAAATAGCATTTGTCATCAACCTTGGATCCGAGATAACACGTAAAACAGTTAAATTAAAAATTAAAGACAAAAACTTTACTTACGGATTCAAATGATGGATTTTTCTATGTGAATAACATGATCTAAGCTTGAGGCAAGGCGAGTGTTGGTTCCGTATGAGATGTCCTAGACGGACCTTGGCTCCAGAGATCATAGCTGGTTGTCGGAATTATCATAACGCAATGTCTCGGAGCACGATGTCTAGTTTTGTCGATATGTCGAGTAAATTGTGAATTTAGAATTTTATTTGTGCATTTTAAAATGTGTGAGGCCAAAAGTTTGTTTAATCTGAGAGGTTTTTTGTTAACGTACGGTTTCTGAGAAACCTCAGATTTCGTCGACATGACGTTCGACAACTAAAACCTGACAGCCGACGAGGAGGCGGCCGGTCAGTTCCTATGATATTTTGATTACTTTCTGTATTTTTCCGTAATTTTGGTTGATATATGAGAAAAATATCTAGTTTTATGTTGTTTTCTTTTATGTTATGAATGAGTTTATTAATGGATTTTTTTTGGAACTCCTCTTTTCTGTGTTTTTTTAGTAATAGTGTAACGTAAGACCAACTGAGCGCTACGTGTTGATAATACTCGAAATGGAGGTAAGTATTGGGTGATTGGATCCTTCTCCTCGACTGACGCGGTGTCCACCACTTGTTGAGCCGTTGGTATGTCAAAGGGAAACATAGTTTTCCTCCACCCGGATTTGGGCGTAGGAGGTGCAGAAAGGCTCGTCGTCGATGCAGCGATAGCATTAAAAAATTCCGGTTACGATGTTAAGTTCGTCACGTCGCATCACAACTCGGAGCATTGCTTCCCGGAGACGAAAGACGGCACTTTGCCGGTTGAGGTCATCGGAGGGTGGATCCCGAGGAACGTGTTCGGCAGGCTCTTCGCACTCCTTTCATGCCTTAAAATGATATACTGCGCCTTTTATGTGATATTCAAGTTGAAGCCGGATCTAGTTTTCTGCGATCTCGTCTCCGCTTGCATCCCCGTGCTGAAGATGGGTGTTAAAAAGGTCGTCTTTTACTGTCACTATCCAGACCAGCTTCTGTCCATGCCTGAAGGCCTTCTGAAGTCTTTGTACCGGTATCCGCTCGACTGGCTCGAAGAGAAGACCACCGTCATGGCAGACAAGCTGTACGTCAATAGCAAATTCACGCAAGATGTTTTCTGCACGACATTCAGAAGGAACATGACCGTTGTGCCCGATATACTTTACCCTTCGATTAACACCGTAGCGTTCGACAGGCATACAGAAATAAAACCCGAGCACAGCTTCAAAGATGAATTTGTAATACTATCTATAAACAGGTACGAAGCAAAAAAGAACATCGAGATCGCAATACTGGCTTTGAGACAGTTAAGAAATGAACTTGACGATGACAGATGGGACAGAGTGAAGTTGATAATTGCAGGTGGGTATGACCCAAAGGTCCATGAAAACATTGAATATTTCGAAGCCCTTGTAAAACTTGCAAAAGACACCGGCCTCTCTGAGAAAATAATCTTCTTAAAATCACCTTCTGAAGAGTCCAAAATCTCGCTTATAAGGAGATGCGATTGCCTCATTTACACTCCTCCCAATGAACACTTCGGCATCGTCCCTTTGGAAGCGATGTACGCCAAGAAGCCCGTGATCGCCTCAAACTCCGGTGGGCCTACAGAAACCGTTCTCAATAATAAAACTGGTTTCCTCTGCGAGGACAGCAGCACAAGCTTTGCGAAGGCGTTATACAAATTGATAACGGAGGAAAATCTGAAAGAAGAAATGGGCCGAGCTGGTTTCAAGAGGTTCCTTGAAAAATTTTCTTTTTCCTCATTTTCTAATCATCTTAACAATGATATTGAAGATCTTGTTGCTACAAAAAATAATTAAGTGTAAGATATTTGAAAAAAAAGAGGAAATATATGTGATTTTAATTTATTTCAACTGTATATACTGATAAATATAATTGTGAAACATTACTGTTTAAATGTTATTGATTATAATGCGCCTCGACTTAAACCAGTGTTAAATGATCTCTTGTGTACTATAACATAATGATGTTGACTAAGACTATTCTTTAACATTTTCTTTGCTGAAGTCAATTATGGGTCTCAGTACCTGGTGGCTGAAATTAGATTTTTCAAGAGGATCCTTGAAAAAAAAATCCTCATTTTCTAATCATTTTAACAACGATTTCGAAGATCTTGTTGCTAAAAAAAATAATGGTAATTAAGCATAAGATAATTTAAAAAAGGGAAATATATATGTGATTTTAATTTTTTCCATTGTATATACTGATAAATATAATTGTGAAACATTATTACTGTTTAAATGTTATTGATTATAATGCACCTCGACTTAAACCAATGTTAAATGATCTCTTGTATGCTATAACAATAATGATGTTGACTAATAGTCTTTAACACATTCACTGCGGAGGTATCTGGTGGCTGAAATTATATTTTTTCAAGAAGTTCCTTGAAATTTTTATCTTTTTCCTTGTTTTCTAATAATCATAACAACAATATCAAAGATCTTATTTTTAAAAATGTATTAGAAATGTATATATGATTTTAATTTATTTCAATTGTATATACTGATAAATATAATCGTGAAGCATTAACTGTTTAAATGTTAATTGTTCATAATGCACCTTGACTTAAACCATTGTTAAATAATCTCCTTTACACTATAAAAAATCATGATGTTGGCAGACATTCACTGCAGAGGTCGTTTATGGGTCTGCGTTCTCGATGGCTGAAATTATATTTTGCCAAAAATCAATTATTTGGGTCTATTATGATTGGGAAAAATATTTTGAAAATGATTACTAAGGAATTTTGTGAAAAAAATTGCTTCTAAATTTTGGACACAGGTGGTTTGGTGCAAACCGCACAACAAACATTTCTTATTTTTGGTGACTCGGAAGAGATAAAAAAATATCTTTTGTAAACATATTTATACTTATATATAAATTAAACAATAAATCTGTAAATAATTACATTAATAGGAAAGCAAATACAGACTGTACCTAATTACTTTTTTCTCTTAACAATAATTTTTAAAATCTTCAGTAAAATAAAATTAAAACAATAAATCTATGAAATAATTTATACATCATTGAAACATATTTGTGATAAGCTGTAAAACAGTTTCTCAGGCAAAGTGCTGGATTGCCAGGACATATCGGAAGACGGAAAGTAGTCAGTACGTCTTTCCTCGCATCTGGAGAAAAAATACACATTGCATTAATTTTTTTTTAAATGTTTCAATAAATTTATTACAAACTAAATACTGATAGAACTTATATGGTTTTTGAGAGTAATTAATTTTCAATTTGTACGTTTCTACATACTATGTAAGAAATGTGTTGTTGATTGCGACTGGAGGAAAAATTATCATTTTAAAAACAAAGTTTTAAGTCAATAAACACATTATAATTACAAAACAATTTTGAAGATTTATCTCTATGTTCCACTGTTCACAATAATCATCAAGAATTGGTATATTTCTACACAATGTATACGGATTATTGGATATTAAGATTATGTTGTCAGCTACATCAAAATGTTTACTCATTTGTTCCGAACACAGATTCCCCCTTCTAATAATTCAGGTAAATCATTTTAAAAGAATTGAAAACAGTGTAAGACTGAGCATAACGCCTTGTCAGACCTGGCTAGGAAAAATTCTGTTAGCCTATCATGCACCCTAACAGCAGAGGCCACAATAAATGAAATTGGGAGATTTTTTAGCAATAGAATTTTATGACTAAATGATCTATTCTGACAGAGTTTTGATTGCGATACCTTAGCCTACAGTCCTTTTCAAGAGCGTTTACTTCTTTTCTTCACAATATTTGTAATTGTGGAGTTCTGACTCAGTATGCACGACAAGCATGACAATACTGATATGAGTTAATTCATCAATTGACAATTGTTGTCACGTTTGTTTGTTAAAATTGGCATAATTTTCTTTTTTATTTTATTATTTATTTTTATTTTTGACAAACAACTCCAATAGACAGGATATCTCCCGATGTTGCGAAACACTTAAACTTTTTTTTTAATTTATATTATTTAAATTAATGTGGAATTAATGCAAAATTAAGTTATGTAAATAAAGTATTTTTCTTCTTCTTTTTCCTAATCTACAAAATGTAGTTTCCTTCTACAGAGTTCCTCAAGGTTCACTACTTGGCCCCTTCTTGTTTAAACATTTTATAAATGATATTTCATCTTGTTTTTTTATATTATTTTCACTTTTTGCTGATGATCTGAAAATCTTTAAGTCTATAGAATAAATCAAAGACATTAAAATTCTTATCCAACCTTGACTCTAAAAGACCATGAAATTCATTTTCATCAAAACTTGAAGTTTAACATTTTCAAATATAAAATCAAAACTCTAATCAAACCCTTGGATTTTATCAATGCACTACTGTAAATTAAATTGTAATTCTTACAGCTTACTTTTAATTTTAAGGGCCTTGTGCGACCAATTAGGATTTCATTTGGAATCCATACATGACAGAACTAATTGATGCATCAAAGGATATACAGAGATGTATCTTGCACTGCATTTGGCTCAGGGAGGCTGGAATATTTGCTGATTTCAACATGAATCTGGAAACCCTGTACACCTGTAGATTTATTTTTGATATACATTTTGTCTACAAACTGATGCATTATCATATCAACTATCCTGATCTATCCTCCTCTAACTTCGCAATACCCCTTTGTAACGAGCAGTTTACTTTCTCTAAAAAGTCACATTTTACATAAAATTTAAAATTTATAAACATCATGTATTATTTATGACTGGGGTTTTATTGGTATTGTGAATCATGGTATTGGGGTCCACTTAGCAATACTTTTTGCATATTATTTTCAATTAAAAAGTCATGGTGAATTGGATTATTTATTCAATTGGGTCCATCTACACTCGAGGATTTTTTTTATGTTACTCAAACACATTTTAGCTCTGCGCCATCTTCAGTGAGGAATAGTCAAAGCCATGGCTTGCTCAAGATTCAAACCCAGAACAACTAGCACGGCAAATCCAATTTGGACACCCTAGCCATTCAGCCACTGTAGTCCCGCTAGACTGGAAGTAAAATATATTAAATAATGTTTATTAAAAAATTAATTAACAATTTAAAAAAAAATTAAATAATGTTGTATGATTTAGATGCAATAGAATAAAAATGTACTAGACACCAGCATTGATTGTGTGAGATATTACTTACTTAAGAGGTTAGGAAATAAAATTAAAGAATTAAATAATCCCTCCCTAATTATTTCTAACAATAAACAATTAATTAAGGTTTTTAGTTGAGATAAAAAAGTCAATGGCACGAGCGGGATTCGAACCCACGATCTTCGGCTTGATACGCTGCTGCTCTACCACTTGAGCTATCGTGACCTCGATCCACTCAGAAACCAACTTCCCATCTCAACCACACATTTTGAATTTTCCCTCCTTTTTGCCATTTTTCAAATGTCGTGTAACCAATTTGATTCTCGGCGACAAATGAAATTGCCACGGAGAGCTTTAATAAAGGATACTTCATTTTAAACTTATTAAATTCGCTAGTTTCGCGGTCCGCATGACCAATTAATATCATACAATTAATTAAGGTTTTTAGTCGAGATAAAAAAGTCAATGGCACGAGCGGGATTCGAACCCACGATCTTTGGCTTGATATGCCGCTGCTCTACCACTTGAGCTATTTCAAACAATTTTAACAGGAAACATAAAAAGATTGTTTATTTTTAAAAAATCACATTTTATTCACTAATACAAAAAAATTAAATACCTAACAATCGTTTCTGAGTTCAAAATTTCGCATGTCTTTCCCATATTTTAATTTCACATACTTTTTGAGAATATTTAATACAACATATTTACTAAGGTAAATACAAACACAAGTTTTATATATATATTTTTTTCTCACAATGGTGAATACAGACCACAAAATAAAGCTAACACAACACCGATATTAATGGGAAATTTCAATATATATTTACTTTTTTATTTAAAATCATTACAAGTTTTAATTGAACCTCCTCCTTACTTGAATTCGTCACAGAGGAGTTATGTACCACCCGGCGTGCCACCAAGATAGACGAATTAAATTCACATTCTTGACGGCGTTAAAGTTAAGGTGTTGCACAGATATTTGATTCGGTAAATAAGGTCGATACAGTTACAATTCCATTTTTTTATTTTCTTACGAATAAATAAAACGAAAACGTATTAAATAAGGCAAACATTTACAAAATGGCTATTGAAATTGGTCAAAAAGTCTTGTTTTATTAAACCACTTCTGCCAGTATTTCAATTTATGGCACACCATATCTTTAAATTAACTTACTATTTGGCACAATCACAAGGCCTTATATTTATATATATTATTTTTTTAAATGATACCCAAATAAAGTATATAAAAAGTAACAAACTATTTTTTTTTCTTTAAAATTATCTTTACTGTGCGTTTCTTGACATAAAAGAAACATCTATTTATATAATTAATTTTTTTTTTACTAACTTAGAAGGAGGAGGGATTCAATATAAAAATATGACAAAGTGCAAATTTTCTCACCGTTATTAAATTTATTACAACCACTTTTGTCTTAATGAGGTAATGTTCTGTTCATATTACACAACATTTGCCAGACCTCCTTCTTCTTCCCCGATTTTTCTCCGGTTCCACTGGTGGTTGATTCCTAATTATTCTCACGACCTGAATACATTGAGATGATTAGAAAACAATTTTTTTTTGTAATATATGAGAAAAGTGAGGAATTACTTCTTGAAATGCTGCATCTACGTTGAGAGGTGGGTCCTTCGCAGATGTTTCAATGTAAGGAATTCCTAGTTTATACGCTAATTCTCTCCCAGCTTCTTCCGACACTTTCCGCAGATGGACCAAATCGACTTTATTTGCTACTAAAAGCATTGGATATATATCTCTGAAAATAAATAAATAATTAATCCAACAATGAATTAAATTATCACACAATTTTACTAACCTATCTTTAACTCTGAGAATTTGCGTATGGAAGTTAACTATATTTTCATAACTCTGCTTATCCGTAACAGAATAAACAAGAAGAAACCCATCTCCTTTTCTCATGTATTGCTCCCTCATTGCACTAAATTCTTCCTGACCCGCAGTGTCCAGTACTGAAAAAAGTATAAAGGTAAAAATAAAAATTATACAACAAAAGGAAAAAACAAATTACCATCTAATATACACCAATGTCCGTCGACTTCAGTGTGTTGTATATAGCTATCCTCTATCGTAGGATCATAATCTGTCACGAACAACTTCTGGAAGAACTGAATTGTGATCGCACTTTTGCCTAGAATGGAAAAATAATACATGATCTCTTATTTAAGATGTTTTAAGAGATTAGATGTTTTATACATACCAACGCCTCCATCTCCAACAACCACCAGTTTGTATGTTGGAAGATTTTCATTTGGCGCACGAGACATACCCACCCTCCTTCTACCTATTGTTGCGATTGCACGTGAACTTTTCAAGAAGATTAATGTTTAAACGAACGATTTAGATCTCCTTTTATAAGGACTATCTAATTGCACTGAAAATATAATACAAAAAATTAAAAATATGTGAATAAAAATATTAACTGAAATTAATAATCTAATAATTTACATTTAGACAATACACTAAAGCACACACAAGTGATTTATTGCACCAAAGGCAATGTGAGTGACAAATATCAAATTATATTTAGTAGAGTAATTTCTGACATATAAGACGGAGGACCCAAGTAACGTCAAACATGGGCTCATGGACAAGTTGGACCCCTAACGACTTATATTTACAGTAGTAATATGTTATATTATTTATTTTTTATTATAATAAATGATCATTTTACTATGGTGTTTCTTTAATTAACTTTGGCTCTGGAAATACTCGAGTGTTATATTTTTCCCAAAACCCGGCAAACCTGCACTTAATTCAAGTTCCTACTGTCCAGCCTGCACTTTCTCTTTTCTGAACTATTCAAAAAGATTTCAACCTTCTTCCAAACCACTAATTTGGCTTTCATTCTCAACACTACAACCCAGCAGGTTTCACATCCTCCTCATTTGTTCATAAAGAATACAGTATGGGGACCTTCTAGACAAATGTTTGACCGTGTGTGGCATGAGGATCTCGTATACAAACTAAAGTGCATCCTTCCAAACACATTTTACCTAATGTTTTGCTTCACGATTCTTCCGATTTAACCAAGGCAGGAGACCAATCTTATACCTCCTGTACACCTTAAACATCCCAAATACACCCTCTACCCTCCTTTGAAGACAACACAGCCTTGCTTTTCTCTGATCCCGATCCTTCAATTGCCTTTGAGGAGCTTCAGGCACATATACAATGAATGAATAGCTGAATGAAGCAAACTTTGGAGGAAAAAGAGTAAGAAAAATAACCCTTGTTATATGTACCCTCCAAAGAAAACCCTTAGAAAATATTCCTCAACAATATTGGCAGTGATTTTTGGAAGGAAGGAAAGAGGAAGTTTAAGGCTTTAAGCACATATTTAAAGTGAAGCGTGCAGTGTGCTTATTTTCAATAGGTCTGTAGATGTCTCTATATACAACATGCAATTAGTAGTTGAAAAGGGAAGACCAAAGCGCTTTTTATGAAAACTTACTTTACTTTTTGTATTCAAGCACAATTCTAATGTCACCCAAGGAATGACATCCTTTAAAAAAGATTGGACATGCTGGACATATATGCAGGCTTTTGCACCAAAATTCTGTACGTCAACCATTGCTGAGTATTAATATACGTAATCAAATGTAAGACTGTAGGCTGGGTACTGCTGTCCCTGTCTTATTTGAAAATTGTATATTAGAAAAGTATCATAAAATCTTCAAGCACAATGCCCTCGATTTGTATGTCAGGAATTTCTTTACTTACGCTATGTCAAAATACTATAAAACAATTACAACAGTAAAGCTTTGAAAATATAAAACTAGACCAGCATTTTATGATCTCATCGTTTTTCTCATTTTTATATGTATTTATACATTTCATTCTCATTAATAAAATGAAACATCTGTTATTCATTTATTCATGGCCCCAGGAACAACATGAACAGGTTGTTTGAATTCAAACAAAATTTCCAGACATACCTAGGTACCAAAAAAAAAAAAGAAAAANGAGAGAGAGAGAGAGAGAGAGAGAGAGAGAGAGAGAGAGAGGAGAGAGAAAGGAGGGAGAGAGAGACAAAGACTCCTCCATTGAAAATGGCATCATCTGTTGGGTGCACTGAAGGATCTAGATCACAAGAAAATGGGCAGGAGTGTTCAGCCCTGGAACCAAATACTCAGAATCCATGGTAAAGTACACCAGTATCTTCCAGGCTAAAGTTATGCAATTAAGAGAATTCATCTTGAACAAAGGGTGTAAAAACAAGAACATAGCTGGCATGTTAGATAGCCAGGCATCAGAGAACAAAGATCAAATATTATTAGGTCAAAAATGGTGCTGAATTGCAAAACTAAACCAAATAAATGCGGCATGCAAAATAAAGTTACTCTCTGCTGCGTCCCAGGACACACAAGAAAACAAAGAAGCGGATGCCCTTGCAAGAAAAGGGACTGCAACTCCGCTGAATCCTTTTGTGGTTTAAAGATTCGCACTATCAATGAGTATCTTAGGGAAAAAAAGGATTAAAATGAGAATATAATGGAATTCACCCACTGGACACATACAATCCAAGAACTTAGTGAGTTTCGGAAGGAAAGAAACAACAGAATCCCTGAAGGAGCAGATGGAAGCCAGAAAAATGGCCCTGAATGCATAGCTATAAAAGAAATTTGCATAAAATAAAGGAAAAGAAATACAGGTTGTAATCTTTCTGATCACTTCCAAAAAAATCAGACCAAAAAACAACACAAGAAAAGGGAAAATGAAATGTGATAAACATTTGCATCAAAGGAAACAGGAAAAACTTCCAAATCTTAACAGGATTCTTAACATGACACTGCGGACTGAACGGGCATTTGAGTAAGATTGGTATATCCAACAAAGTACATGCAGATTGTGCAAGAAAGCAGACTGTACAACAACACAGTAATAAACTATTGTGACACACTTGTTTGAAGGAGTGATTTGTTGTCACCTTCGAACAAATTCAACAATTGAACCGGGCCTAGAAATCAAATTCCTTGATGCACATGGACTAATCAGTGTGCTTTAAGTACGGGGGATACAATAGTTCTTAAAGGTGTAGTCTTTCATACACACCAAATACATCTTCTCATTCATAAATGAATGATCATCGTTTACAAGAATAATCAGGGATTACAATATCCCAACTCTAATGATAGGAATTGAACCCATGTCACAGAGTTTGACTTACTATACCATTACAATTGTATTATAAATAGACACTGACAATTAATTGTTTTTATTTATTGTTGCGCAAAACGGTAAAACAATAAAGGAATGGATGTTCCTAATGCAAGCAAATAAACATGGAAGCATATCAAACCAACTTGATGCTCAATGACACATTTGACGAAACATGCATCAGTGTTCATATGCCATCTGTCAACTCACTGACATTTATGCTATGCATGCACATTGACCTGTCTTAGGGCCTCCTTAACGCCCTAATAAATACAGATTGTGAGAGAAAAGCAGACTACTTAAAGAGGAAAACGTGCTCATCAGACATTCAGTCGTTTATGAGGAAGCAACTAATAACTCTTTTAAGGCCAATTTACTTTTCCAAATCACCTCATTTTGATATTGTTTGGGTTCCAAATTGTTTTGGGCTATGGATTAGCTTTTGAGTGTTGTAGGCCGAAAATCTGGGTGGATTTAAATACGAGTCAGTCGATTCGGCCGGTCGATGTCATCTCCTTCTTGAATCGGAGCGGTTTCTTTCCTTTCAACTGAAAAATTGTAATTAAATTTGAGAAAATTGTATTTCCTAAAGGCTCGTCGTCCGTGCCGAGTACCCAAAATGCCGATTCTCAAAATAAAACACTAACAACCTCCACTTTAATAAGCTTAGCTCTCACTCCTCCCCGTGCCGTACTTGCTCAGTGAGGTATATTTCGTTTCTCCTTCCTACGATAAATTCCCTCAAATTATCTATTTCAACCAGCTTCTGAAGAATACACAACAACTTTACACTGATTTATAAACAATAAAAAATATTTAAAGGTTGAAAAATAAGAATAAACTGGTTCTGTTCTAATAGAAAAGTTTCGTTGGTAATGGTCCTCAATACAAACGACGCTCAAGAATTAAAAAATTCAAATTTAATACTAATCTCACTATCTCAAATTTAAATTGGATCACCATTGCTTAATTTATAATATAACTGCAGCAAAAATAACTATTTTTATTAACATTTATGTACCTAAAACATCATGATTATTATAGACATTTATGATCTTTGACAAGGAATGACACTCTTCGACTAGGTGGCTCACATTGTGCCAACTTTCTATGCATTGATTTTTCTGGCCGATTCTGTTGAATAAGGATGACCCTTGTTCTGTATTTTATACTTTCTGGGGGTGTGATGAGCGGTTTCCTTTTTTCGTGCGCGCGGCTCGCGGCTCGTTCGAATATCGTCGCTCAGGTGCTCCGAGAGGGTAGCGAGCTACTCCACTCTAGGCCCGTCAAGCCTTTTAGGGGTAAGATGTGTCAGGTTGCCCAGGCTTGACGGGTGAACACCCTTTACTTAATTATTACTAACTCTGGAAAAGGAGGTTTGGGGGAAAGATACACCAATTCGGACAGTACAAACAGGTCCCTTTATTTGATATGACTGAACAATTCCCAATATGTATAATCAACTAGTGAATAACGCCCTAACGCTGCTTTTAAATAGCAACCCTTATTTCCTATTAAATAATTCATATACAAAACCGATTACTGGAAGACTAATTCTAGATATAGCTAATGCTCTTACTCTCTTTAACGAAACCTTAATACTAGGGGCTTAATTATTGGGATCGTAATGCTAAAAGTAGCCTGAAATCGCCCAACTGTTCCCCAAATCTCCTGCAAACCAATTGACAAAACTTGTACTCACAGGACTGGAATACGTGCATCGATTTCGTCGGTTCGGTGGTACGGATCCTGCGAACTACGCTGACTAATCTGCCGCACCAGTTCACCCTTTGGACTCCGTTTGACAGACTCACTCGTCGTCTCAACGGGACACTCCGACTGACTCATCTGCGGACTCTCGTACTACCGACTCTCCTCGGACTTCACCCGGATTATCCTTTTTATATCAATCCGTTTAGGTAGGAGGTGGGGAACAGTTGCATTTTGAAAATACTGCTATGCTTCTGGGTGACCCGACTGCCCTTTGTCCTCTCCAGGTCATTGAGCTATTTTGGATGAGTCCGGGCATTAACTAATCCTGAGGGTTGAGCAATAAGGCCTCTCGTCAGCACAACAGCCAATTTTTCTAGGGCAATTGCCCTGGGATCGAATTTCTCAATCGAAAACATCCAGCTGTTATTATTTCGCCAGCTTTTTTTTTAGCTGCGTCTGGAGTTCTCGAGAAAGACCGGGTCAGCTCCTGCGATTCCAGGCCACCTCTGGTTACTCAACCCGGCACAATACGCTTTCCCAACAATTAGCTAACCTATTTCTATGTCTAATTTTAATATTTATAACAAACTTAAATTTTTTTACAACCCTGTTTAAGATTCCCTTCTGGGGATCTTCACAGGGGGCATCCTATTAACCATACTCATGGCCTGCAAGAGCTCCTTGGACAACCCAGTTCATATCGCTGCCACCTTTTCTTTGCCATATTCTTTATTGCTCATTTAGCATCAGTGCATTGCATTGGACCGTGATAATAAGAATAGCATGAGAGGAAACACATTCCTCCTTTATTTTTTGGCTAATTAGCATGGTGTGTATCTGGTGTATAGTCGTCCTGAAAGAAGATACTCTTAAAATGGATTCTTAAGGGTTTGTTGGAGTGATACCGTGGAGAGATTCATAGAAGGGATCTGCAAAATTTAAAAGGGAATTACTGTAAGGCAACCGCAACTGAACCAGATTCTGATTGGATCCCTGACAGGGCACTGCCATCTAAGAAGGTACATACACCAGATAGGATTACAGAGAGAAGAAAGATAATGCCAGGAAGAGGTGGAGACCACAGAAGACATTTATGTTTCTGTGAAGGTCTTAGTATTCTTGCAACTAGAAGAGAAAAGCTGAAAGCAAGAACCTACCCTAAAGAGCCGCTGACAAAGCTATTGAGGTTAATTAACAACCTGTAGCTGGCCAGTGATTTAAAATTTAAAAAAACCTTTGGTTGAAGTGCAGAAGGCCTTGTGGCCACCTCTTTTATCCCTATCCCTATACCCGACCTGAGACATACTTACACACCTACTGGATTAAGTACTTTTCTGATTTTCTTTCTTTTTAATTTTTATATTCTTTCTATCTCCTCTAACCTCTTTTATTATTCTTTGCAAGCCCCATTGGGTCAGCTTAGTTTAATTAGTGATTTTTATTTATTTTTAATTATTATTATTATTAATTTTTAAGGGTGTTTTAACGGCTAAGGTCATTTCACGCCCTAACATCCAAATCTTCTATCTTAGGTTAGCTATATATCTTCTGAGTGCTATAAAGCTCAGACTCCAAACATTCACTCGTAATCTAATTTATCCTCTTGCCATCCAAGCTTTAATTTTTCTTTTTAAAATTCTTAATTCGAAAGGCCAAATGTATACAAAATTCCCATTTTAATTGCATCAAATTTAATAAAATTATAAAATTTATTTCTGTTTCTTTTTTTAATTAGAATTGTGAATTTTTAATTTAAAAATTCCCCGTAGGCTTGTATGGCTAATAATAATAATAATAGTGGAGTCAGACTAGCAACAGTCTCAGCATGAGTATTGGCTCATCCTTATCCTTTTATTCTTCCATTCAAATATGATACATAAACTAATTCTACATAACAATAATACGAAACAAAACACAATAACATTTCTTTTTCTTTATCTTTTTTTTTTTTGGAGGGAGCTATTTTTCTTATTTAAATTGCGATTTTGGGCATTGCAGTTTATTCCCCCGCAATTTGTATTTTCTTCCATTTTCCGCTCCGGCAGCCTCAAAAACCTCTGGAAAAAGAAATCTTGCACGCACAACTTTTATTCAAACATTAGCAGGCATTCAATGGCATAACAATTTGGGAAAAGGCCTGAGTCTCATTATAAATTCCAATAAATTTGAGAAAGCTGAAAAGTGCTCTTTGAGAAGAAGAAACACTGGGGACCCAGAAACTCCTGTAAATCACTCGAAAGGTTGAGCCTTTGCCTAAAGGGTTGTAAAGTGGGACAGTCGACCAAAATATGTTTTACTGTCAAAATGGTGCATTCTCCACTTCGCGTACATCGAGGACAAAAGTTGGAAGGTTGTTGCCTATTAAAAGCCTATTATGGATTAGCCTGATATGACCTATTTAATTATTATTATTGTTGTTGTTGTTAATGAGTATATTTGATTTTTATACATCAACCAGGATTCCAGTACATAAACATTTCTCTTTAAATTTATCCCAATTATTCCCATGTTCATTAGTGTTTGTTTCAACGACAATAACATTTTCTTAGCAATAATCCATTTATTTTATTTTTGTTTTAGTGTGTTAAGAAATAAAGTCACATCATCACCTCCTCGCTATATTTCCTATTATACCTCAAGTCTATGCAACATCATCCTAGCTTTTCATCATGTGATCTTACATGGTCATATAATTTGGTCAGTACTGATCATTTTGGTTGCTTGTCCTTGCTGGTTGATGATGGTGTTCGTCTGTGAGTCGGTGAACACATGTCGAACCGGCACTGGGTCACTTCAGTAAGTAAACACATTTGGAAATTTCCCACCCAGGCACACTAAAGATGGCGCAAAGCTGAAATATGTTTGATTAACATAGAAAACCCACGAGTGTAGAAGGCGTAGAGCAATTTAAAGGTTCATCACCCCATAGAGAAATCTCATAAAGTGTTATGTTTTAATATTATATAGTTTGTATAATCTTTGTGTCTGTACTTTGATTTGTCTATCAATAAAAAATAATAATGTAAATAATTTATATATGAAAAAATATTTAATAATTCTTGTGCCAATGTACATTATTTTTATTGTAGAGTGAACAATCACTTGGACACATCCAATTCATAACACGGAAAACATGAACTTATCGGATCCCTCAAATCCATCAAAAAGTGTATTATTCCAGCCATACCTAGAAGAAATTTAAATATATAAATACCAGAAAATGTGTTTCATGGCGGAGAACCTCACCTTGGAATAAAGAATAAGGCCAATCTGGTTTCATTCCTTCATAGACTGGATAGTTCAAACAATAATCTCCAAAACACGCTGCTTTGTACAGAAATACTTCTAACTGGAATGATTAAATAATTATTGATTAAATTAATCATTTCAACCAGATATTATAACATAAAAAATTAGTTTATTTTAAATAAAAACTGTCCACGCCAAACTATCTGTTGGCTGATTTTAATGACATTTTGTTTGATCATTAAGATAGGAGTTCTGACTTAAAATTAAATACTATGAAGCATACCTGTGTTTTCTTGTACAAATATAAAAATATATAAGCATTTCCGGCAACTCCATGGCAAATTGAATAACCCTTTTTCAATAAACCTCTCTTCCAAATCATACTGCTAAAATCCAATGCCATTTTATAATAACTTGGGCAGAAGTAGACCTGTTAATTGATGGACATTTGAAATTTGTTATGTTGTCGTTATGATCATCATGGTAGAAATGCTCACCATGCTAGCCAGTACAGCTAGATGAATCATACCAGGGGCTCCGTGACACCACTGTACAAGTTCGTCTTCCTCTTCTGCTGCAAACATTGCAAAATTCTGGCTATGCAGTCTAGCTGCAAAAAGAGAATTCAGCGTAGGGCGTATAATGCAGTTCAGTTCATAGTCTGTTAAATACCGGTTAGCCTGAAAACATCACAGTGATTTTTAAACTATTAACTGAAATGTGTAAAATATTATAAATCTTACTATGAGGAGCATATATAAAGTGCCAGCAATGCCATGTGCTGCGCCGAGAAATTTGAGACCGCAGAATTCATATTCCAATGGAATAAGTGATGCTTCCCGTTTCGCCAATCTAAACCCAGAAATAAGAATTTGTTCGACTTGCTTAAAAAAAAAAATCTCTTTTGTTGTTAATTTCTTTATTAAAAAATTATCTATTTCCATTGAAAATTACCTTTCTCAAAAACATTTCTGGGATGACAGGTTCATCCAATTGCTGATCAACGAATATGAGTGCATACAAATACCCTGCCCTTCCGCTTAATATGTCATTATGTACGACCATAAAAGGATTGTTTTCATCAGCATCACCTAATTCTATCAAACTATAAACATTTTTTAAAGAATTATCTTGCTGATAATTGTTTCATTTATAATTTATTTTTAATTACAAAACGTCATAGTCTTTTCTTACTCTCCAATTAACTGATCGGCTTTCTCATAGTCTTCATCTATCATATTTATTAGAATTCCAAGTGCCAACGGCCCCGCATCTCCTTTCAAGAAGCTGATACATTCATTTTTTAAATTCATGAGCGCCAAATTAGTCAAATATTTTGCCACCTTCAATCATATTATATTTCACTGTAATGGTACAAGACAATCTAACAATGTGTAGCCACCTCAAAATACTTTTCGTCACCATATTTTTTGAACATTTTATAGCTTAAAAAAGCAGTCCCCCCATAACCGCTATAAATAGTGTAGTCGCTTTGCTCATTGTACAGTGGTACTAATTGTACCAATTTGCAATACATCTTCTCTATCACCTTGCACACTTCATAATCCAATTCAGGTGTTATCTATAAAATAATTCAATAATCAATTTTCAACAGAGAATGTAAATTTTTAAAAAATACAACGTACGTAACCATCCTGAAGCCATTTATTCTTGATTTCCTCACTGAATTCAGGATACGGATTGGTGATGACTGTGTCCATGATTTAAATATAAAAATATAAATTTCTTTGTTGAATTTTAAATTCTCATTGATCAAAAACTTTTCTAGACAGATGTTTATAAAGTTCAATAGGGATTTTTTAACGATGAAATCATTATTCCACATTTTATTTAGACTATTATTATGACTAAATGTAATAATTGAAACAACAAATAACAAAACTGTAGCTAAAACTGAATCACTTCTGAGATAACTTTTTAAATTTTAAATATTCACATTATTCTCCTGTCAATTTTCCACTTTACTTTGTTTTATTTATCTAGTTAAACATACATATATACACATTAACATCTGAAAATCTTTAAATATATTAGAAATAATATGCTTTTTTGTGTTTTTATGTTTAAAATAAGTGTTTAATTGAATATTTAGAATCAATAGTATCAATATTCAATTAGGGGACCGCAGTGGTTGAGCGGTTAGGGTGACTTACACATATTTGCCACATTAGCAGTTCTGGGTTTGAATTCCGGCAGAGCCCATAGCATTTTAATTAATAATGGTATGAAAAATGTATTGTAATGTGGTTTGATCTCTTATCCACAATACCAAATGTGTACACCCTCCGTACAGCAATTACGTTACATTAGTAACAATGTATAATTTACAAAAAAATTTCCTCCACAATCATCTTTTCCAGAATAAATTCAGGACACTGCCTTCAACCAGAATGTGTTCTATAAAAACTGTTTGAGACTAAATTACATTTGTGCGTGAATATGTGATCTGGCACACCCTTGGAGTCGTGCAATGCACTCATCCTACATGAGTGCGTTGTGGGTTCTAAATAACAGTTTTAGATGCGTCAAGCTGGAGGGGCTAGACACTGAAATGGTACCAGGAAAATGATTTAAATATAAACCCTCAAAGAAAGCAATTGTGACATTCACTCAAAAGCTGTCTTATAGCTCTAACCCTACAAAACCAAGAAATAAGGCGTTTAAAAGAAGTTACCTAAGAATACCCGACCAACTGCATGACTGAGCACTAAGGATATAATAGATATGCCAAAAATTAAAGTAGAACTAAGGGGCTAAATTCTAAAATGATCTTATGATCATATTTTACAATTTTCAGACCCATCAAAACTATGATAAAGAAAGGCAGAGGAACTAATTCAAAAGTCCAAGGAATAGCATGCCTTAGCATAACTAGCACCTACAGCGCTCTTAAAACAACACCCACAGCCACAATATAATGCATCTCAAGCTGCCACCCATATATATGTTAAAAGGATGGATTGAGGTATTGAGAATTCAGCGGACAGTGGGAAAGACTGCATCAAACAAATGCTGGCCATACCAAAAATTTTGGTAACGTTAAAACAACACGCAAATAAAAACATTATTATTGAAAAGAGAGCTAAATGGAAAATAAAACAAAGATAAACCTGGAGTTCTTCTATGACATAAAAATGGCTCAAATGTATGAAATTGTGGATGTATGTGCATAAAGGAAACTAACTTCAAACAGCATATGACCCTTGGCCATTCCACAACCATCTTTCAAGCCAAACTGCTAGATATAAAAGCATGTGCACATGAAATAAATAACCAACATTTCAAAGGTCAATAATAAAATCAGAAAGCCAAAGCCTGTGAGATCTAAACTTATCTGGAACTGCCAACATTCCATAAAAACCTGGGATCTATGAATAGCCTTATGGTAAGGTGAGTCATGAGGGTATTTCAGGCAATGAGGCTGCAAATACACTAGATAAAAAGGGAACCTTGGAAAAACACACATGCCCAAATCAATTTTGTTATAAATTAAAGACACATTAAAACAAACTGGAATCTTGGGTAACTATGAAGCACAACAAATACTGGAGAAAATTCCAGACATGAGGCAAACAAAAAGTCTACTTGCAAAAACAACCCTAAGTCCAAGAAAGAAATCCTATTGAACAGAAAGGAATTAAAATTTTTAACAAGTATACTTATGAGACATGCTCCAGTAAAATACAACTTTAAAAAAAATTAGAATAAACAAATGACCAATATCAATGATGACTAGAAGAGACAGAGACAAGAAAAAAATATCCTATGCAAATGTCTTTCAATAACTAGGAAAAGGCCTTGGTACCTTGGAAAGCAGCAATGAGGACCTCAATAACAGACCCCTGAGAAGAATTCTGTACTTCATTCTTTAAATAAGCGAGAAGAAAAGCACAGGACAATGTAACACAGGGCAAAATTGACAACATTTTTTAAGACGAACTAAATAAATTTATGAACATAGAATAATAATAATAGGGAAGAAAAGAAATGATTTATGTTATTTTTAAAAACTCAGATGCCATGGACCTGAAACAAGCTAGCAAGAAACACAACGTACTTCTTGGAGAAACAAATTCATTGTCTTGCCCCTGAAATTCTAAAGGATAAGGTTTGGGTTGATTGGTGCGTTTGGATAAGGACTGTGGGAAAAAAGTTGATAAATATTGAAGACATTTATTTTATTTTATTTTGATTTATTAATTTTAAATGTGTACATTGAAACTCTAGGTTTATAAGTGCTTAGAATGTTAAAACATTGTTAATATAATAAGAATTATGATCTCTTGGTGTTAGGTCTTAACGGTGTCTAACGCAGGAATGATAAGCAATTTGAAAGCGATGAGCAGATTGAGAGTCTATGTAAAGTGAACAAATAGCAGAGAATAAAGGTATTATTAAGGATTTAATAAAGAGAACTAGTTTTCAGTGGAGTGAAAAAGCTAAGACATCAAACAGATTGACGGCTCGAGTAGACCTTTTTAATATAGAGCTCACATTGTCATGCCATGTAAGCTTGGAGTTAAATATAATGCCAAGATTTTTAACTTTATGACAAAAATTAACAGGGTCCCATTTGTATTAACCATTTGTTTTTTTGGAAATAAATAAGAAATGGGATTAGTTAGTTTTTAAAAAATACCGTTATTACTTGACCATTGATTGAGAGAATGACAAGTTGAGCAGAGAGATAGCTTCAGAGATGTTGCTTGTAAAACTGAGTGTCATCAGCAAGTAGCTGAAATTGGGAGAAATTAAGATTAATGGAAGATCATTTAGAAACAAGGAAAGAGTAAAGGTCTAAAAATACAGCCTTGGGCTACACCAGCCGAAATTGAGAGAGAGAAGAGGAGAATTTGAAGCTCTAATTCTCTCTTTAACTAACAAAAGTTGCTCAATTATCGAGGTGAATAAAATGCAAATAATGTAGAAAGTAGAGATAAAACTTTTGCGAGGTAAAAATGGCAAAGTCCAAACTAAATATGTGTGAAAATTGTTAAGGTAGGCATCTGCTGTTGTCAATTGATAATTATCTTTTAAAATTTATTATAAACTTTTATTATTTTTTCTGCTATATTTTAGTTTAACTTTGCTGAACAAAATGGCGACATAATTTATGCAATTTGTGAATTTTCAACATTATGGAAAGTATGGTGTTTGATGTATGTGACCATACTTAAAAATTGTTGGAACCTTAAATAAACATGATGTAAAGAATTGTTTTCTATTTGTAATAATTATTTTTATTTATAAGAAAAAAATGTAAATCATAAATTGCAGATTTTTAGACAATTAACATTGACTAGTAAATAGAATCAAGAGAACATAATTATTTTAGAAAAAGAAGACACTTTTGAAGTTGATGTAGTTTACAATTTTATCAATCGTGTTATAACTGTCGCCATGTGATAAGGATATTTACACAACAAATTTAAACTCATTAGTTTTGTTTTTACACAAGAGTTTGGCAGAAAGGTCATCCCAAAGGATAAACAATGAGCACAGAGGGAAGATACTTTCCTCCTTATCCGGATTTCACTTTGGAATTATCCAAGAAGGTTCTGACAGACACCAGGGTTTGTAAATGCTGAATTGTTTAATATTTCCTGTTTGTGGGGTTGTTTTACACTTTGCGTTGCTCGGGTTGAAACCTTGGTGCCAAACGTAGCATTATTGATGCCCTGCGACGTGTGGCCGCTGTGTTCCATTCTGCGCGTTTCCTCGAACCGCTCACAAAACATCTGCTGTAAAAGTATCATCGATGTAATATTAGAAAGAGCTGGTTGTAAATACTATGTTTCATATAAAACATCTTTCAGTCTGTAAAAATATAGAAGGGTCCTCCACTATTCATTAACTTATTGTCAAGTTGAATTCAGTAATATTAATGTCTCATGTTGAACTGACCCTGGGTCACTGAAGAACACAGAAAGCTAAAATGTAAGTGTAGATGGACCCAGTATGTGACCCAGTGCCGGTCAACATGTATTCACCGACCCTCAGACCACCGTTTTTGAGCCCACCATCAGTATTAATGTCAATTCTATATTTCTAATGTTTTCAACTAATAGAGACAAATTTTATGTTTTAATTGTCTTAAAAGAAGGCAAAAGTCTATTAGGTTTAGTTATTCAGATATCGTGAGATGCGGTCGGGTGTGATGTAGGTTTCAGAAAAACATTTTCTTTATCGTGCCAATGTTTCGATCTTTTCTTGAGAAAATAAAAGAAAATGTTTTTCTGAAACCTATATCACACCCGACCGCATTTCACAATATCTGAATAACTATCAATTAACGGTCACTAATCTCTACACATTTCTATTAGGTTCTTTCTCAACGTAAAAAATAGACAAATTATTTGGTTGTTTTATTCAGTGAAATGTAATACTTAATCTGCTTCACCGATCATGTATTAGGGCTAATTCTGTCAATAATCTTAAGTAACACCGTGTAGGTCGGTTTGCCGCCTTCTTCAGTGAGGATTACAATGACCCAGCAAATGACCCAGTGCCGGTCAACATGTATTCACCGACCATTAGATCACTGTTTTTGAGCCCACCATCAATATTAATGTCAATTTGTAATACTTGGTGACTGTTAATTACTGTTCATTCAAAGATCTTGAGTTGTGGTCTGGATAGTCCAGACCATCACATGTTCTTTAAATAATCATTAATGTCCATCATATATTTTTTGTTTTCAACCATGGGAGTCAAATTTTATGTTTCAACTGTCTTAAAAGAGGGCAAAAGTCCATTGTTTTGCAAAAGTAGAAAAAAGAGGTTTATTCTGCTTCACTGATCATTTACTAGGAATAAAACCATGTAGATCCTTTGTTAATAAATTAGATGATGTTTTTAAGGTTGGAGAGACCCATTTGGTGAGGCCTTCAGAATCTGACAATGAAGAAAGTTCCCCTGAGTCATTAAAAAAGCATAATAAAACAAACATCGGGAAGAAAAAAAACAACGTCGATTCGAACAAAGGCAAAATCAACATTAGTCGTAATACTCCGACAAAGCCAGAAAAGAAACCGTGGCAGATTACCGGCAAAATAAGGAAACCAAGTGAGGTCACTTCAAGCAAACCCAAAAAGCCTGAGTATATGAAAACAGGTTCTTATTTTTATTTTAAGGTAAACATTGATAGACACCGATTCGTAAAACAATGAGTTACTTAAGGCCATCTTTCAAAATTATAAAGGGGAGCAGATTTCTACACCTAATCGCTTAATTTTATATCGGTTGAATCAGACTTGAATTTTTTCCCATGAGTATAATGCAATAATTTTAATTTCAGATCAAACCTGAAGTGGACAGTAAGGTGGATGCATTAATTTTGAAGTTGTACGAGTCCATCATGGAAGCCGTCCCAGGATTGTGTGGCGGAAACAGCGACACCTCAATCTATACTGGATACAGTGGAATCGCTTTACTGAATTATTTTTTGTTCAAAAAAACAAGGGATAAAGTTTATTTTGATGTAACTATCATTTGTTTTATTAAAATAAAAAGACAAGATGGATATTTCATACATTTATCTTTAAAGACAGCAAAGGGTTTGGTCAGCAAAGCACTCAAATCACTAAAAGGCAGAAGGATCAGTTTCTTAAATGGCGATGCAGGTCCACTAGCCCTAGCAGCAATTTTTAGCGTCTTAGAACAAAGAAATGAAGAAGCCGACGACTACATACACCGGTATTTGTATTGAAAATATTACTTTGTATTCTAGTGAAAGATTTATTGACTTATTCTATATGTTTATTACAGTCTTATTGAACTTGGAGATACAGCAGATAGTAACGCCCCTGATGAAATTCTGTATGGAAGGGCCGGCTATTTATATGCATTACTTTTTGTGGAACAAGAAACAAAACCTCTTATTCCAGATAAAGTCTTGAGAAAGGTATAAAAACAGATGAAACTGTATTGATTATTAGAGAGTAGAATTGAATCAAAACTCGAGTCTTTTTTTTCAAATTGATTGTATTCCATAATGAACAATCTCTATAGGTTACTTTTACTGTTGGTCAATAAAATAATAATCTACAATTATTATAACATAACAATAGTGTAAAAAATCCCAGTAGCTACATTGCAAAATTTTTGTGGTACATTATTTTGTTGTTACTTACTAAAGTAGTCTCAGGTGCACCATGGTGGTTGCTTTAAGTTCCTATTGCATTTGTTGCATTTGAAAGCTAGTAATTAAACATGATTATGCCATTATATATATATATATATATATATGTGTGTGTGTGTGTGTGTGTGTGTGTGTGTGTGTATTTCCAAGACGCTGAAATCGTTAGGAATAAATCGAATGTTTGTGTGGCGCACCATAAATCGCTTTAAAGATACTCTTATCTATTAAAGACAAACCAGGTCCGGCCGTCCTCGCTCTGTGAGGACGAAAAATGCCACCAAAGCGGTAGAAAACCGAATTCGAAGAAATCCACTACGAAAACAAAAAATATTGTCCAGAGAACTGGGGATTTCTAATATCTTTTCCCTTGATTTTATTTTCCATAAGTGTTCTACAACACCCATTAATGGCCCAAATTTCTGCCTGAAAAATGGAGGTGTTATTGCCAAGAGGGGAGGAGATGCTGATGCCTAATTTCAGGATTCCAGCACCACTTCCTTTATGATATGATGTTATAAGTGAACCATCTGTATAGCAGTCTAAGTTATGATGGTCCTCATCCGCACTATAGTTATATTCACAAGGAGAAACTACTTGAAAGTACTTTTTCCCCGAAGGGGTTTTAACCTTTTTATCACTAACGCTTAATAGTTGGCTGTTAACCTTACTCAATGATTGTGCTATTACAAAGGCATAATTTAAAACTTTCCTTATTGCTTATTATTACTCCTTTGTTTGCCATATATACACAGCCCTTTCCCCAGGCGTTCTTTGTCTTTCTTTTTTTTTTTTTTAATTTCTTAGTTTCGGTTTTATTTGGCCATTCTTGATATTAACTGATAGTAAGAGATTCCAAGTCAAGGCATTGGGTTGTGTTTTCATTTTATATCATCCTGCTTTCTCTTGTTTTACAATATTGGAATGCTTCTTGCAAGGTTGCACACTGCTTCATACGAGATTGTTTTGTACCCTTTAATAACTAGTTGGATAATATCTGCACTCTTCTTACATCTGCTAAATATATTGTTTTTAGTGCTTTCCTGAAACCACAAGCATGTAGTTGTTAGCAAAAAGCAACGGAGTTCATCTTCTCTGTATAGTCTATTTTCTAGAACCACACTTGGGTACACTTAGGTTATTACTGCTTGATCTAATTCTATCTTACAGAAAAATGTAACGAGAATAAAAATTTATATGATAACGTCAAGAGATGTAGTGGTCATTATATATATATATATATACATATATATATATATTTTTTAATCTTGGGTCAGCTAGCCGAATCAAAGGATCATTTTATATCTATATAGATCATAACACAGTTTCTTTAGACATGTATTTATCTACAGAAGCTTTAAACATTTTTAGAGTGTCTACCGAACTGTGTTGATCTATTGTCTACTTGATAATGATCTTTCACTGTACTTGTGGTGCTGCTCTTCTGATCTTTTCAAACAAACTGATGTTGTTTCAAACAAAATGTTGGCCCTGGAACCGATAAAGTGATTCCAGATTCCGAATTACCCCCATAAACCAGTCAAATAAAGTACCGCATTAAAATAGAAATTTTTTTTGATTGGCTGTGACTTGTTGAAACGTTACAGAAATTAAAATAGTACTGCACCTTCTTAAATTTAGGTGTATTAAAAGACAATGTTTAAAAATTCCCAACCAGTTTTTAAAATATGATGAAGGTATACAATTTCATAATGCATATTTTAATAATCTTGTTTTATTTTAGACTGTTGAAAAAATAATACAATCTGGGACAAAAGAAGCAGCAAGAAGGAAGTCTGTCGTCCCACTGTACTATGAGTGGCATGATAAAATCTATCTCGGAGCGGCCCATGGTTATGCAGGGATACTTTATATGCTTTTAAATGTGAGTAGAGTTAAAGATAACACTTGAGAAATTTTTCTTGGTGAATAAAAAAAAATCATTTCCTAACAGGCGTCTCGTCACATGTCTGAATATGAGAAAGAAAATTTAGTCAAGCCGACTTTGGAGTGGTTGATAAATACAAAATTCCAAAGCGGTAACTTCCCTTCTTCCATCGGAAGCATGACAGACCGACTGATACAATGGTGTCACGGTGCGCCGGGTTTCACCCACCTTCTCAGCCTGGCGAGTCAGGTTTATAAGAACCCGAGGTACAGAGAATTGGCTTTGGAATGCGGAGACGCTGTATGGGAAAGGGGATTGCTCAAAAAGGGCTATTCAATATGCCATGGTGTTTCAGGAAATGCTTACACATTTCTACATTTGTATCAAATGACAAAAGTCAGTTTAAAATGTTTAACGTTAAGTCTAGATTTTAAATAAAAATTATTGTTTTTTTTTAAGGATATAAAACACTTATATAGGGCAGCCAGCTTTGTCGATTGGTGCACAAGATATCCTGCTAATGAGGGAATGCGTCCTGATCGACCATTTTCACTTTTTGAAGGTACAATCTTAAAATTTAATCATTTTTTTAGTCTTACTAATTTTTTTTTTTCTAGGCAAAGCAGGGCTTTTATATTTTCTGGCGGATGCCAAAGATCCTTTAAGGGCACTTTTCCCCTGCTACGAACTGAAATCGTCAGGCTAGCTGTTGCCAAACTGAATTTATCACTCTGTTTGCTACATTGTCAGCGTATTTTTTGTTGTTTATGCTATTAAAAGAAACTGCACTTATTCATTTTAGATTTTTTATTGATAAAATCTCAATACTAGTAGTGAGATGAGTTTAAGCATTTGTAATAATCATGAAGTGTATTGAAAATATGATTTGTATATTTTTTAAATTTAAATTTTTTATTTAATACATTATTATAGTGTAACAACTTTTTATGTTGTAAATTATACGAATTCTTCGTTTAATGATTTCTTTTTTGGGAATTTTTTTTAAGGATTGAAGTCTGTAATGTTCAACAACAGTTGGAAAGGTTTTAACAACAAGCAGTGCTTGGTAGGTTGCACAAACAGTCTTGTGTCTACTGTCATGTGAGTCTTGCCAAGTTCGTTGAAATTATACTTAGTGAAATGACAAGTACCAGATGGGAAGTGCTTTGGTCCCCTGTCCACAAAAACAAGTTTATCAAGTGGGACACGGAAATATCACTCTATGAGACGCTCGACCAAAACGACTGCGACTTGAAAGATGACTGTATGTATTTTATGAAGTTGAACCCGTCGAAGATCTTGTGACAATTCACAAATAATATATGAATAAATATACACTCAAAGAAAAAAACCATATACTTGTATTTATTTGTTTATTTTTCATAAAAACTAGGTATAAATATTAATAATTGACTTAAAATGCAATCACAGCATTAATAAATAGTTGTTTGCTTTTAAAGAGTGTTACTAATGCTTTCACTCTTTAGATCAAATATAAAGAACAACAGTTCAATTTCAACCTTTCCAGAGCCAACTTGTTGAGTGAGTTCATTGGGTTTTTATAACGTTTTCTTTGATGACACAATAAATTTTAGTCAAAATTTTGTTTTTAAATTAAAAGAGTGGTTTTAAATCGAGAAGATCCAGCCAGATACTTTGACCAATGATGGACGTAGTGTCCATGCTCTACCGTCCACATTGGTCTACAGTGGTTTAGGGCTATTGGAAGTCTTGATGGAAGATCGGCTGCGGTGTACGACAGCCAGAGATGATCATTTTATTGCTTTTACTGCACTACAAAGCCGTAATTTAACGGCTTCCTTGATAGGTAGTCAACTCCAAAAGGTCTTTGTAGGCTTTGTGAAAAAAGCCAAGTCTTGCATCAGATTCTGTTCTACTGAAGAAGCCATAAGTAGAAAGATGACTATTCGCAAATCAGCATCTCTCTTGGACACGCCTTGTTTCATGTGCCATGTGTGAGTCACAGCATTTCAAAGACATTCACTTACGGTATGGGGGGAAAACAACATCCTTTTTCATATCATACAGAATAGAACTTTGCACTGAGATACTTTGAGGAAATGCTTCTGGACGCTGTTGTTTCATTGGCTCCTTTTATTGGGGACAATTTCATCATAATAATCCTCGACTACATGTAGCTTGAGTTGTCATCTATTATTTGAATTACAACAATGAATTAGCCAGCTTGTTCTTTTGACATGAATCCTATAGAGCACATATGGGACATGATAAAGAGACGGGTCAGACATCGTTCGCCGCCTCCAGTAAGTGCTGAACTGCTTTAAATTGCTCTTGTTGAAGAATGGGATTACATTTCACAAGAAGAAATCCGATCGCTTATTCACTCGATGCCTAGGAGATAAGGCTCTCCACAAGACCAGAGGAGAATGTCTGTCAGTTTTAACTGCCCAGTTCTAACCAGGGAAAAGTTCTGTATTTGGCTTGACCTTTGGGACCTCAGTCGTGACAGTTAAATAGAAAACTATCAATTTTTCTCAACATTTGTTCATTTCATTTCTCCTCCAGAATTTAAACAGCTAACGAAAGGTAAAATGCTAACTTTTTAATCACTCCAACATCTTAAAAAATGTACACGACTGAAGGAAAAAATTGAGAAACTGGCCAATTAATCGTGGCCGTCTGGATTCAGACAAATATACAGTTAAAGTGAACGTGTAATGCCACTTAGCAGTTCTCCACTAGAGAGAAAGTTGAAAATTTCACGCTGACCCAGGCCTAAAGCAATAAAAAAGGTTTGTTTTTAGCTTAATCATTGGAAAGATGATGGCCCAAATCATGTTGGCTTCTTCTGCTACTAATATTTTTAATGTGGATAAGGAGGATTATCGATACTTGCTATCTTTCTCATCTTATTGAATAATCACTTTATTAAAGAAAATACAATCCTCCTTATTGACGTTAATAATATTACCAATAAAAACCAATTGAGCTAATCTTCATTGATAGAAAATCTCATAAAGGAAACATTTAAATTTCAAAAGCTGAAGAAGTGATGTACAAATAATTTTTCATTATAATTTAAATACATTTTTATTTCAAACCGTAATTTTATTTTATTGCTTCCGGTACTTAGCTAAGTTTTTGAGGTGATACTTCAATTTAAAATTGCAAGTGAACATGCTTATGTTTTTTGTAATTTCCTGCCCACTTAACGAGATAACTTTAATGTTTCTATAGTTTAGTCATTTCTGATTATGCCGACCTCACAAGTAAGACATAATAGAAGACCACTGAAAATGTACAAATGATTAGAAATGACCCAACTGCAAGTTCATCACTCTGCAAACCTCCACAAAAATTCTTCGTACATGATTAGTTATACTTTTCATGTTTTAGACCTGACGGTTTAAATCAGTGTGATATTCTCTTTCTATCGACCCATTTGTTCTGTTACTTTTAGAATACTTTTCTATATGTATAACTGACTGGTCTGACTGGGTGAATCACTATAAAATGAAAGTTTTTCATTGTGTTTGCCAATTTTTCTGGCACCAAAATTAAGGTTGGTTTATTTCCCAAGACAGTGGAGATGTGCTCAGTTTGTTTGCCTCTGCCTGAATCTCTATATTCAGTTTCTCAATTTTTCCTTGCCTGTTGAGCAAGAGAAATTCTTTGGTATGATCAAGTCCCAAACCTTTTTCATTGCTTTAGGCCTGGATCAGTGTGAAATTCTCATTTTCTCTCTAGAGGGGATCTGCTAAGGGGCATTATATGCTCAGTTTGTCTATTTGTCAGAATCCAGATAGCCACCGGTTAATTTTTCATCCTGTTTAACTTTTTTTTTTCTTTCTTCAGTCGTGTCCATTTTTTATGTTGTTGGCACCATGAAAAAGTGAGTTTTGCTTTTTGTTGGCTGTTTCAAAACTTGGGAGGAAAAAATGAAATGAACAATGATAAGAAAAATGAAAATTTTCCATTTAACAGATGCGCCTGAGACCCAAAGGTCAAGCCAAGTATGCAATGTTTCCCTGGTTAGAACTGTACAGTTAAAACTGACAGATAAACTGAGCATGAAGGGATTTAGGAACTTTCAGATCAGTCTTAAGTTGAAGATATAATGCTCTTAACCCTGTTTGGCAAGATGATTTATGATGTGCAATTTCAGTTCAATTTTTAGTATTTCCTGGGAACCAATTTCAACTTCATGGGCCTCGGCTTGAATCATTGATGAATACAAGGGTTCAGCTTTATAAGCCCCTAATTTCCTCAATTTAGGCATCTCGTACTTGAAGAGCCTCATGTAGATTGGCACCTTGGTTAAGAAATCCCTTTGGAGATGTTTAGATATGTAAAATTATCGGAGTACCTGGGTACAACTAACTCTTGTGAAGCTATTATGGATGGTGTAAGGGCGTGGGTGTTGGGTCATATTAGAGGGTTGAAAATATTCAGGACAGTACTGAAATTTCTACAAACTTACAGCCGTCTTCTATAGACAGGTTTTCGTTATATGGATATACCCTATTGTCCATCTTTCAGTCCATTTTTGGTTATTTACCGTGCCCAATTTTCAATTGTATGGAAGATTGAAGGCATCTGTCTCAGACGATTTTGTCATTTTACCCCTGGGTCCACTCATTTTTATACCATTAACTAGTGTAGCAGTTTGCTTTCTATTGTTACATTAAAAAAATAAATAAAATAAAAATAAAATGTTAAACTAGACAGTGAGAAATCTATATGTAAATATGGAAAGGAGGATGAATCATTCATGAGTCTATGAATCGGACACTGTAAATTAACAAATGAACACTCGAATGCAAGACTTTAAAAATGAAACCTAAGCCAAACAGTTTGAATTTAATTTTGGATGTTAATGAGTCAAACTTGGTCAGCTTGGACAGGATATTCAAGGTTTTGGAATGAAGATAGATGTCTACATGTTCATTGTGAGACTCTCAAGAAATCTCTTGAGAGATTTGTGCATAACTGGTGGACTTTAACTCAGTCTGTAAACATGGATCATGGGAAGATGCACATCACTCTGACAAGGCTGCCTTGCTTATCCTTGCGTTCAGTTCTCCTGGTTTTTAGTGCAGCTCTTTTATTGCTCTGAAAATGTTAGTTTCTAAAATGTTTAAGAACAGAGATATTTATTTCCAAACTTGACATTTTAAACAAAAAACAAAATGTCCAATTAGAATTTCAACAAAATGAATGAAATTTAATTAATAAAATATTTTATAATTGAAGAAAGGTTTGAGTAGGTTTAATGACTGCTGTTAGGATTTGTTCAATTCTTGTCTTTTATTTTTAATATACATGTAAATTAAATAATTAAATAAATTTAAAAATTTTTCAGATGTTGAAATATCTGAGTACACTGTCGCCAGGCTTATCGCTAAAAATTCGAACCATCATTATATGAAATGTGTCGATATTTACCCAAAAGAAGAAAAAGACCTCTTGCTTGCAATAGGGCAGGCGAATGGCAAGGTTGTCCTTACATCCTTTGGTCCATCCCAGTTCGATTCATTGGGTCTTACTGGCCTCGAACTTCGTAAGTGTAATTTTACAATCTGACGAATTATTTGTATATTTTACTTAATTTATTTCTGTCTCGGTTCAAGCTCCAAAATATGCGAGGCAGTGTAACGTCGTTCAGTGGAATAAAATTGAGAATCACCTCATCGCCGCTGGCCTCGATAGGTACAGGAGCGACCATTGCATACTCGTCTGGGACCTGAAGACCCGTCATCACAACCTGGTGGCTGAATTGGGCCTGAGCGACATGGCTCATTCGTTATGTTGGCTTTCGGAACACCCCAAATCTTTAATCATCGGGATGAATAACAAAACACTCAAGATGGTCGATCTCAGAGGTATATCGTTTAATACAATATAGACAGTATTGTATATTTACCCTAATTATTTTTAGATACATCAAGAGGTGCGAATTCTTCTCAAACAAAAGCTGTTTACGGTGTGACAGTCCCACCACATCCGAGCTATCTTGTGGCAAGCTACATCGAAAATCAGATTGCAATCTGGGATGTAAGAAGTTTTGAAAAGCCAGTTGTTACATTACAGCAAGGCAAACCAGTAACAAAAATTCTGTGGTCTCCTACTAGGTAGTTCTATTCTGTTTGTTAATTTATTTTATTATTTACATTGCATTTCAAATTATCCATGCATTTTTTTTATAAAGTTTATATTCAATTATCCAAATGATTTAAATAAAACCATACGTTGATCAGCCTATTCTCACAGTCCGAGCTGTAAATCAGCAAGAATATACAGAGCAGAAAAATCGGTGGCAATTAAACTACATGTTCATTGCTTATGAAACTTCACCACTTGTTATTATGTGTGGTGATTAGTGACCATTAATCGATAATTATTCAGAAATCATGAGATGTGGTCTGGTGTGATGTAGGTTTCAGAAAAACATTTTCTTTATCGTGCCAACATTTCGATCTCTGTTGAGATCATCTTGATCTCAATAAAGATTGAAACATTGGCACGATAAAGAAAATGTTTTTCTGAAACCTACTTCACACCAGACCACATCTCACGATTTCTGAATAACTTTTTATTATTTTTTTTCCCTTTAATTTACAGAAGCAATCTTCTTGGATCCCTTCAAAGAGATAGCAGGTCGATTCATCTCCATGATGTACAGCAAATGGAAGATATGGAGCCCACTATACTTGAAAGAAGCATTAAACCTTTATTAAACCATATTCAGATCACGTCGTTCTCTTGGCATCCTAAAGATGAAAACCGATTACTCACTATAAATCTCTCAGGTATATTATACAGGATAAAAAAAGTTGTTGAACATTTATTGAAATGTTTATTTTTTTAGGCTCTATGACAGATTACACGATATTTGAAAGGATTACACTTAATTGGAGCCAGAGTTGTAATCTGGTTTGGACGCACGGCCAGAGGATGCTCAAATCCGTTCCAGTTTCAGACCCTTCCTACTCTATTTTTGGTGATATTTCTAGTCTTATGAAGAAACGAGCGTTTCAAGGATACGGGCTCAAAGTATTAACCTGCTCGAGTGCAAGATTTTTAAAAAGATATATCAATTTTATTGTAATTTTAGAATGAATTGAAAGAGAATGCAAATCTAGTCGATGACGAACAAGTTCAGAAAATCTGGCATTGGCTCGATCATAGCAAAGCACTCATAGACGGCGGTGTGATACCAAGCCCTGGAGGCGGGGCCAACAAACATCCCGGAATTTGGTAAGAATTTATCTTTCGACATAAATCTTTTATTACTACAGTTTGTTTTCTTAGCTCTGTTCTGGGACTCGATAACGGAAACAACAGCAACGCAAGGTCAGAATTGACGTTTTTATCGTGGTCTGGTGTAAGAACCACAGCATCAGCTAAAATATACAGGTAATGTAAGAGAATTTATTACTTATTTCCCATATTTATAATGAGTTTGATGTTCTAGGAGCGAAATGAGAGACAGAGCTTTGAGCCTTTGCAATTGGAAATTTATTCACGAACCGATGGCACTTCAGATCACTATAGAGGAATTAAAGGAGCAAGGTATTTTTTTCTATATATACACTCAAAGCCCAAAAAAAGTTTATTTAATTAGTTATCTGCTTATTATTATTATTTCCAATTTTTATGATTTTTATGCAAAACCAGTGAGAAGAAAAATTAAAGTCACAAGCGGGATTCGAACCCACGACCTTTGGCTCAATACACCGACGCTCTAACTACTTGAGCTATCATGACCTCAATCCTCCCGAGACACTAACTTCTCCTCTCAACCGGCTATTATTTAAAAAATGGAAAATTTAAATAATAGCCGGTTGAGAGGAGAAGTTGGTGTCTTGGGGGAATGAGGTCATGATAGGTCAAGTGGTTAAAGCACTGGCCTTTGGAGCCAACGTTCATGGGTTCGACTCTACCTCATGACACTAATTTTTCTTCTCAACCGCTTTTGCATAAAAATTTTTAAAAAAACTTATTAAGTGGGTATGAGACATTAACAAAACGACTGCAACTTGCAAGATGACTGTATGTGTTTTATGAAGTTGAACTCATCGAAGATCTTGTGACAATTCACCAGTAATATATAAATAAATATACACTCAATCGTTTTACGTTCTTTTGATTAAAAATAAAAAATTCAATAATTTCATGGTCCGCTTGACCAATTAATATATTACAATTAATTAAGGTTTTTGGTTGAGATAAAAAAGTCAATGGCACAAGCGGGATTCAAACCCACGATCTTCGGCTTGATACGCCGCTGCTCTATCACTTGAGCTATCGTGACCTCGATCCACTCGGACACTAACTTCCCATCTCAACCGCACCTTTTGAATTTTCCCTCCTTTTTGCCATTTTTCAAATGTCGTGTAATCGGGTTGGATTCTCGACGGTAATTACACGACATTTGAAAAATGGCAAAAAGGAGGGAAAATTCAAAAGGTGCGGTTGAGATGGGAGGTTGTCCGAGTGGATCGAGGTCACGATAGCTCAAGTGGTAGAGCAGCGGCGTATCTAGCCGAAGGTCGTGGGTTCGAATCCCGCTCGTGCCATTGACTTTTT